CGATTAATTTGGCTGGAAGTCAGGTAGAAATGCCACACTTGATCAGGTAGGGTAGGTCAAGAAAAAATTCTTCCGCAAAGTATCGGGTAGGAAGACAAAAGACCATATTTCATACATGTATGATAGGGTGAACACCCCTAATGAATATGTACATTCTCGAAAGAAAAATGTTAAATAAACTTAAATACTTGATTAAATATTATTATTGAATACGTAGCGGGTCTTAATAAATGTTAGAACTTACAGTTAAATCAATAACGAATATAATAGCCACATCATCAAGTCAGATTTTTAAGTCAATTTTTTCAGTTTGTATAGTATTACTTTTCTCCAATAATAGAACTTAGATCAGATTAACGGGCCGAATCGATTATTGTCATTNCAAGAAAAAATTCTTCCGCAAAGTATCGGGTAGGAAGACAAAAGACCATATTTCATCCCTGTATGATAGGGTGAACACCCCTAATGAATATGTACATTCTCAAAAGAAAAATGTTAAATAAACTTAAATACTTGATTAAATATTATTATTGAATACGTAGCGGGTCCTAATAAATGTTAGAACTTACAGTTAAATCAATGACGAATATAATAGTCACATCATCAAGTCAGGTTTTTAAGTCAATTTTTTCAGTTTGTGTAGTATTACTCTTCTCCAATAATAGAACTTAGATCAGATTAACGGGCCGAATCGATTATTGTCATTCAATTGATAGAGAATCATATGCAATATTAAGAATTACTATTGATATAATGACATTAGGGAATTTGATCTGCAAATTTGAATCAAGTAGTACTATTTTATTCCCTACAAGTACAACCATAAACATTGAAGGCAACAAAGGAAAACATTATTTTTAAAAAAAAAAAAAAAAAATCCATTATACCCCGGTGATAATGGCAAGTCTCGCAAATTTGTTGTGGCGTGGCTGTTAAGTGCTAACATGATATCTTATAGAAGAAAAGTTACAGATTTAGAATTCACCGTTGACAACAAAACAATGGTCTGTACTCTTCTCTATTGTTTATTCTCTGAGATTTTGTTATTAAAAAAAAAAAAAGAAAGATAAAGTCAAAGTCTTTGCCCCAGTTAATTTTAGAATCTACTAATGCATTATATTCTCGTAATAGAGAGAGACTGCATACCTTCCATCCATGGGACTTTTACTCTTCTTTCATAATAGCATTTATATCTTCTTTCCATATTCAATTTACTATCCATAGTAAATGTTCAACAGACTTGTCAGTTACATTAGACCCTTATTTTGTATTCACAGAAAAAAAAAAAACTCAATACTTATTAACTATTTATTTTCACTCTTAATTAGTTTAGGAGTGCTCACATNTCCATAGTAAATGTTCAACAGACTTGTCAGTTACATTAGACCCTTATTTTGTATTCATACAAAAAAAAATAAAAATAAAAAACTCAATACTTATTAACTATTTATTTTCACTCTTAATTAGTTTAGGAGTGCTCACATTTGTTTAAGCCAAATGGACTATCACAGTCAAATTTATCCTCATTCAAGAGCTATTGCTCTAAGTTTTCATATTACGGTTGTAGGAATTATAGCACTAAACAAGGATTATTGGTATCTATTGATATTCTTCATTAATCTTTGATCTAAAAGTCCTAGCAGACTTTCTCTCTCTTCCATCGTGAGCTCTCCTCTGACCTCTCCCACAAACAACGCTTTGTAGACGCCATTTTTCTCTTTCTCACATCATCACAAACACAAGTAGAAAGACATTAATCATTGCCACAGGTTCCTCAATCTCAAGGAGTTGTAGCAGAGACACAAAAATAGGTCCAAAGTAGANACAGACTTGTCAGTTACATTAGACCCTTATTTTGTATTCACAGAAAAAAAAAAAACTCAATACTTATTAACTATTTATTTTCACTCTTAATTAGTTTAGGAGTGCTCACATTTGTATTGATCCAAACAAAAAATAATAATAACTGGGAAGACTGAAGAATGAACCTTATAAAATTCTACTTCAGCTTTGTCATTGGTGCGATAAGCCTTTCACACCCACAAATGAGCACCAAGTCATTTTAGATGCTTCTGCAGTATCTGTCCGCTATTGAGGTTTATATACGGATTGACTTTATGCATNCCTTATAAAATTCTACTTCAGCTTTGTCATTGGTGCGATAAGCCTTTCACACCCACATATGAGCACCAAGTCATTTTAGATGCTTCTGCAGTATCTGTCCGCTATTGAGGTTTATATACGGATTGACTTTAAGCAANGTTTATATACGGATTGACTTTATGCATAGGGTTTCCTATGAAACATCTATACTTTTTCCCTAAGGATGTATGATTTTAAACAAGGTCCAAATTGGGTTGTAGGAACTTCTTTTTTTCAATTATTAGGTTTTGGGGCAGCCACTTTGGCTAGGCAGCAAGGAGCATACTAAAGTTAAGGACCTCTCATTTGTATAAGTCTTAAAACATATGACTTCTTAACATTGTAGCACTAATGGCTAAGTAATTTTCTTTTTTTTGGATGTTTGTCATGACTAAAATTGTTGTTAAGATCTATATCATAAAATAGCTTATGATTCAAATTTTAAAAGATAAATAAATAATTTTTTGTTATTTGCGGTTGAGATCGTTTTAAATTTTATTTTAAAGTTAATCTAACCGCTAATATTGACACCTTAAATTTAATAGGAAAAATAGGCTCATAAAGGTGCGTTTTGAGTGATTTTTTAAAAGTACTTCTAAAAATTATTTCTCATAAGTACTTTAAAAAAAAAATAGTATTTGAAACTGTCTCACTACTACCTCTACTACCACCGGCGCTGTCGCCGCCGCTGTCACCACCACCATCATCGCCACTGTCACCACTACCACTGTCGTTGTCGCCACCATGGTCATTGCCACCCACCACAACCATCACCGTCTCTTATCACCACTACTTCTCACCCCCGGTACAATCAATGGTTAAATTTATTTATTTTTTCTCTATATTTGTGATTTGATTTTAAATATGAGTATAAATATGTTTAACTAGTAATCCTATACGACACCATTAACATTAAATTGTGATATGTTTGACATTAGTACATGCAAATTTTTAGTATGCCAAAAACTGTGACAGACTATCATTGAGCCACTAACCTGAATTTTGTTTTATAGTTGCTTCCAACGGAAATGATATCGAATTAGGACATGGATATGGATTAGTTTTTTCTGCCCTTTGTGTGCTTTTCAATCCAAATCTCTTATTTTTAAGGTTATGTTGCAATTAATGTATAGTGTTTTCTTCCAAGTACGTTCAAGTTGAAGTGCAGTCCCTTTGTATAATAAAGTCAAATGTTAGACTCTCTGATAGTCAAAGCAATATTTTTTATTCTTCGTTATTTACCGTTATACTAATTTGTATACACCTTTTTTTTTTTGACAACTGTAATCTTTTTTTTCTTTTTATTAGTGCGGAAGGCTTAAAATGAGTGTTTTTTTTTTCGATTTATCAATTATTATGAGTCATAATTTTTTTGGGCTATATTCACTTAATCTTTCTAAATTCTTTTGATGTCTTTTAAATAACGAACACCACCAAAATGTCTAAAACTTTTGTCTAAGAAACAAATCTACAAACTCATATCCNGGAAGGCTTAAAATGAGTGTTTTTTTTTTCGATTTATCAATTATTATGAGTCATAATTTTTTTGGGCTATATTCACTTAATCTTTCTAAATTCTTTTGATGTCTTTTAAATAACGAACACCACAAAAATGTCTAAAACTTTTGTCTAAGAAACAAATCTACAAACTCATATCTCAAATAATAAGAAAATAAAAATAAAAAATATAATTCAGAAGCACGTGTGTATCATCTGGTGTAATTCAGAAGCAAATCTACAAACTCATATCTCAAAGAATAAGAAAATAAAAATAAAAAATATAATTTAGAGGCACGTGTGAATAAACTAGTGTAATTCAGATGCACATGTGTAATTCAAAAACAAATCTACAAACTCATATCTCAAAGAATAAGAAAATAAAAATAAAAATTATAATTCAGAAGTACGTGTACACTAACTAGTGTAATTTAAAACCCTCTATTATGTTTTCTTGTGTAAGCAAGCAAACGCATAAAAAACTTTTTTTGAAATTATAAATGGGCACTATTTTCAAATAATTTAGAGTAATATTATATGGATTTTAAAAAATTAGAGTTAATTATCACAACCATTGAATAGGTTGAAATTTATAGTGAAATCAATGGCTATAATTATCAAGTCTATTTTTTAAATATAATTTTGAAGTTCATATAGCATTTTCCAACAACTCAGTAAATTTGATACCATTTTCGGCTTTTAAAGGTTTCAAAGTAGCGTTCATAATAAGTAAGACCATATTTTTCCGTACGTTGTCATCTTTTCGTCTTCGTTANTATCTCAAAGAATAAGAAAATAAAAATAAAAATTATAATTCAGAAGTACGTGTACACCGACTAGTGTAATTTAAAACCCTCTATTATGTTTTCTTGTGTAAGCAAGCGCATAAAAGAACCTTTTTTGAAATTATAAATGGGCACTATTTTCAAATAATTTAGAGTAATATTATATGGATTTTAAAAAATTAGATTTAATTATCACAACCATTAAATAAGTTGAAATTCATAGTAAAATTAATAATTATAATTATCAAGTCTATTTTTTAAATATAATTTTAAAGTTCATATAGCATTTTCCAACAACTCGGTAAATTTGATACCATTTTCGGCTTTTAAAGGTTTCAAAGTAGCGTTCATAATAAAGTAAGACCATATTTTTCCGTACGTTGTCATCTTTTCGTCTTCGTTCCTTTAGTCTTTCCTATGTTACGTCAAACCAATGTAATTTTGAAATTCCTTAATATTAAAAATTAGTAAAAAGTCCAACGTATTAATTATTTTCCGGCTCAATAACACAGGTGCCAAAATAATAATAATGAAGAAGAAATTTATTTTAGAAAATTACTATTTTGAGAAAAAAAACTCATATACATCTATCGCATCATTTTGTAGAAAATTACAAAAGAAATAGTTCTCCGAGTCTTTTGGATCTTGAGACATTCCTACTAGGAATGTTTCTCTCTGTTCCTAGCTTTCATCTTCATCCACACACTGCACCGAAACCTCTCCTTACTCACTACCATCTCCTTTACAATTTTCACTTTAGTTCTCCCTTACAATCTCTCTCTCTGCGCAACCCAACATGGCTTTAGGAAAAGGTAGAAGCAGTAAGCGATCGTCTGGAACTTCTTATACATCCACCGTAACGACAGTGGTCTTTGTATCATTGTGTGTTCTGGGTGTGTGGATGCTTTCCTCCAACTCTCTAGCTCCGCCACAAAACACCACTCGAACTGCCACCGATGCCGCGACCGCCGGCAAGACCATCTTCTCTTCCTCCATTACCGACTCTCGTAACCCTGAACGTACACGTAAAAACCCACGTCCAGTTTTTGAAGACAATCCTGGTGATCTCCCCAATGACGCCATTCAATCCGATGAGCACGATGATTCCACAGAAAATCAGAAGTCTCAGGATGATTCTTCGGACTCCACTGATACGGAAAGTACTGCAAGTGGGACACAGAATGAATCGCGGCAAAGTAGCCATAATGATGAAGAAGTGGAGAGAGAAAATACTGGATCAGAGACTAGCAACGATGACAAACAAGAATCAGAACAAGAACAAGAACATGGTGCTGACAACGATGATCTGAAAGAGAGAGGTTCTGTGGTTGATGAGAACCCACACGGATTACAAGGGAAAGAATCTGAAGAAGAGAAAGAGAAGCAAAAAGCACTTGAGACTCAAACTTCTGAGGAAAGTTCTGTGACTCAAAACCAACAAATTGAAGAAACAGAAACAGGAACAGAGAATCAAAGTATGGCAACGCATAAAGATTCGAGAAATGAATCAAGAGATAATAAAGAAAGCAATGGAAAGAAAGAGGACTTGGAAGATAAGGTTCAAGATGAGAATCAAACAAGTAGAGATAGTAAAAACCATGAGAGTTCTGAGGACACCCAGCATCATATATCAGAAGAAGATCAACAGCAACGATTAGTGCAGCATCAAGAGCAAGAAGAAGCGCTAATACAACAACACGAAGGACAACAAGAAGAACAGTCAAAGCAGCAAGAGAGTCATGGGGCAACAAGTGATGATCAAATAAAACACGATGAGGAGCCACCCCTGTCCTCAACTGAAAATCAAACCTCTCAAGAAACAGAGGAGACGAAACACCATGTCAAAAATCATGAAACCCAACACAAATCTCTGCAGAATGATAGTAAAAATGAGAGTAATTCGAACCAAGAAACGAAACAAACAGAGAAGATTTCTGGGTCACAATCTGGAGATTCTTTTCCAGGTGGGGAGGGTTCAGAGATACCAAAAGNTATATATATATATATATATATATATATGTATATATATATATATATATATAGAGAGAGAGAGAGAGAGAGAGAGATCTATATAATAAATCAGCTAGGTTTTTAAACTTATGAGAATATATTTTTTCTCTCAAATTTTACAAATCCAACACACATTTCACAATACAAAGCTGCACACACACACATTCCAACAGACTCACTCATTATATACATACTCCAGTTATACACACACTCCAATACACATACAATGTCATAACTTAGTATACAATGACTTTAGTCACAGGATATTGCAAGCATATACACACTCCAATACACATACAATGTCATAACTTAGTATACAATGACTTTAGTCACAGGATATTGCAAGCATATATATAATCACGAAGAAGCCAAACCTACTATAATTGAGCCAAACGTTAATTGGATTCGATTGTCTAGAAAATGAGTATTGAAATTTGATTGGATTTGATTCATTTTACAATTTGAATAGATTTAAAGGAGTCAAATTTCAATAGGAAATAGAGAAATTTGTAGCTATGCAATGTGTTATGTGTGGAGTATATTGTAGTGTTTTTTTTTTTTTTTAGCAGCAAAAAACAAAAATATTGTAGTTTTTTCAATTTACATATTGTGAGTCGCTCAAATTTCATTGGCTTGCAGGCTGTGCCTGAAATTGCATGGGGAAAGCATACTCGGGTTGTATTGGATGTTGGGTGTGGGGTTGCCAGCTTTGGGGGTTTCCTCTTTGACAGAGGCGTCCTTGCAATGTCTTTTGCTCCAAAGGATGAACACGAGGCTCAAGTTCAATTTGCTCTAGAAAGAGGCATACCTGCAATATCTGCAGTTATGGGCTCTCAGAGATTGCCATTTCCAAGCAGGGTCTTTGATCTTGTGCATTGTGCTCGTTGCAGAGTTCCTTGGCATGTCGAAGGTACCTTCTTCTTGTATATTGGGTATTTCAACTAGGAGTATTACTTGAGTCGAGCTTGAGTATGTTCAAACTCAACTTTGTTATTACTGACTGATCTCCACCTCCGTGTTGAGCTTACCCTATTGACTCTCAATTGTTGATCAAACTCAACTCGACGAAAGCTTGCAGGTATTCAAGCCAAAATCCAGCTCAGTTTCCTAGCAAAAAAAATAAATAAATAAGTCCTCCTATAAGTTAACAATAAATCATAAAATAACCGATTTCTCTTGAAAATATCCCAATATTTGTATAATTAATCATAAAATCTAACTCTAGAATTTAAAAATTTTCAAAAATTATAGAGGAGAGGAAAGGGTTGATCTGGAGTGATTTGGAAATAAGTTTTGGTGTTGTTTATCTTTTAAATAAAGATCAACTAATAATAAAATTACAATTTTCACTAAAAGAACCTAATCTAGTAGAGCTACACGTTGCTTAAATTCAGCTCCTTTACATAATGAATTTATAAATCTGATCAAGTTTGGTTCATTTTATAATTTGAATCAATCTCACCAAGTCCAGTCCGAACCGAGGTTAAACTGCTCAGATTATTTATCAACCCTAGTTTCAACACTTGGATTACTCAACTTTTAGAGTCTCAGCCAATCATTGCTCATGGTTGCTAAGAAAATTCAAACTGTGATGTAGGTGGTGCTCTGCTTTTGGAGTTAAACCGAATGCTCCGGCCAGGGGGTTATTTTGTCTGGTCAGCAACTCCTGTTTACCAGAAGCTTGAAGAAGATGTGGAGATATGGAAGGGTAGGATATATATACATAAATACCAGATGCTTGGTTTTATCTCGAACTGTCATTTGGGTTTCAGAAACTGAAATGTGGTCTTTTTGGTTCTAGAAATGTCTGCATTAACAGTGTCCATGTGTTGGGAGCTTGTTACCATCAAGAAGGATAAACTGAACTCTGTTGGTGCTGCAATCTACCACAAACCAGATTCAAATGAATGCTATGAACAAAGAAAGCACAAAAGTCCTCCAATGTGTAGAACTGATGATGATCCAAATGCTGCCTGGTAGGTCTCTATATATTATAAATCCTTCTCTTTTATCGGGTAGAGAGGAGTTTCATTGATAAAAAGTTGGATTCTCCGTTTTCATCAAGTTTTTTAAATGTTTCCAAACCCTTTCTGAAATGAAATTTTGATTCTCGCAACAAACACATTACAAAGTAAAGCATTGAACAGAACAGACCCCTTTTTTCTGGAGCAGAGTACACTAACTTGAGTTGTTAGAAACCACATGCAGTATAGATTCTGGTATGTATAATAAAGCATATGAGGACAGCTTGCTACAAGCCAACATGCATAATAAAGCATACAATTCATTCTAGGATCATTTTTTCAGGTATGTACCTTTGCAGTCATGCATGCACAGAGTGCCAACCGATGAAACTGAGAGAGGGTCCCAATGGCCAGAGGAGTGGCCGCATCGACTGCAAACGCCTCCATACTGGTTAAACAGAACCCAAATGGGAATTTATGGTAAACCAGCCCCAGATGATTTTCTAGCAGATTATGAACATTGGAAACAGGTGGTGAGCAAGTCATATATCAGTGGATTGGGCATCAGTTGGTCCAACGTCAGAAATGTTATGGATATGAGAGCTGTCTATGGGGGGTAATATGAATATTCATCACCATAATAATAGTTATGAATGAAATGGCCCCATTGCTGAAACTAACACGACACTAATGCTTACAGGTTTGCTGCGGCAATGCAGGATCTCAAAGTGTGGGTCTTGAACGTGGTGAACATCGATTCTCCAGATACACTTCCAATCATCTACGAGAGGGGACTTTTTGGGATATATCATGATTGGTGTGAATCCTTCAGCACGTACCCAAGAACATATGACCTCCTGCATGCGGATCATCTTTTCTCAAGGCTGAAAAAGAGGTAATGTTGGTTGCATAATCACGCTTATTCACGACCTCCCTTTAGCATCAAACACTATCCAGGATGACCAGTTGTACCTCATTTGGCTTTCACAGGTGCAAAATTGTTCCGGTGATGGCAGAGGTTGATCGGATAGTAAGGCCTGGAGGTAAGTTGATTGTGCGAGATGAGTCCAGCACAATTGGGGAAGTTGAGAACATCTTGAAGTCTCTGCATTGGGAGGTTCATTTAGCCTTCTCCAAAAACCAAGAAGGGATACTCAGTGCACAGAAGTCTGAGTGGCGGCCCGACTCCTATGCTGCTCCTTCCTGATATGAAGATAACAGTATTAGGTTTTCATTAAATGGAACTCTCAGAAATTGTGCAATCAAGCACCTTTCAACATCCTTCTTATAGCATTAAAGTGTTTTTACAAAGTTTAATTGTCAATTTTTTTGGGGAGAGAGGGGGAAGAGGAGGAGGTTATTTCTAAATGTAATGTTATTTGATGGAATGCAGAAATGCTAGTGTTTTGTTACAGTCGTGGATTTCTTGTAGACATGAACATAACACAATCAATGGAAGTGTTGCAATTGTTGGCATCAGAGTGCTGTCATACTGACAGCCTACTATCCGTAAAGAGAGTAAAGAATGAATCTCCTAAATGATGTACATCAATATATATAGACATGGGGAGTAAAAGACCTAAATCACATCCAAGTCTAAGAATACTGGCTGAGCTTCGTCATCGTGTCCTCACACGTGTTTTCAACTGTTCGAACACACTTTGTTTCCTTAGCCTCTCTGTCCAACGTGTCCGGGCACGTGTTTTGGACCGTCGACACGCACTTGGCAGTGTCTTCTTCTTCTTTGTAATTCTCTGGAAACCACTTCCGGGTGTAATACATTCCTCGTCCGGAAGCGTGTCCATTCTTCTTTGGGCAGTTCCTGTAACTTACGTCCAGACGCATGAGGCAATGACCATTTGTTCCTTCTTATTGTTCTAGATCTCTTCCTCTTCTAGTATTTTGTCCCTCTAATCATTAATTCAACCAATTTACCTGTAAAATTGGACAAACACTACACAAGGAATCCCGAACTTAATCAATTTAACACTACACAAGGAATCCAGAACTTAATCAATTTAACACATTTGCTGCATTGTCCAATGTAATTAACTAATAATTAATATAATATACATGCAATATTTCATGGCTAATCACTGGCAGCCTGCTATCCGTAAAGAGAGTGCATTTTTGAAGACTACAAAATTTTTCAAAAAACAGGTTAACATGTGATTTACATTGCCACCTTTAACCAAAAGTTTCACTTTCAATGAAAAGGAGCTAGTCAAAACTACAAAATTCAACAGTCACGGTGCTGCCATGGCCACCATATCACCTTGAATTCCAGTTCACAAATCACCAAACCAACAAATATAATGACATCAATTTCAAGCACCAATTCTGTGACTCCTGTCTGCAACTTCTGCTGAGATGCTTGGATTCCAAGGATTACATCATCTGCTACTAAGAAAGTTTTGCAATTGACCATTCTGGACAGCAACTTGGAGATCTAAATTATAAAAGAAATGATCAGGAAACCATTAGAGCAATTAGGAAAGAGAGCCATATGAATGACAGGTTGCATCACAAAATCAACCCGGAAAGAGCAGGAATATTGTAAAGAATTAGACTAGAGGGCTAACCGTCAGAGCCACCTATATGCTTGCCATTCACAAATATTTGAGGGACAGTGCGTCGACCCACCAGATCTAGAAGAACACTTTGAATTTGATACCCATCATCTAAACATATTCAGGATGACAAAATTATTTCAATTCAAGTCCGTATTAGACTATGGATAATGGTAGCTAGAAACATAAGGAGAAAAAAGCACACATGTACACACACAAAACTCATTGTTAACTAATATGGAGTACCTCGAAGATCAAGCTCCACAACAAAGGGTTGCTCATGTAATTCACTGAAGATGTGCTTGACTCGACGACAATACCTAAGCTCAGGACAAACAACACACAGTTTGAGAAAACAAACACACGATCCTTCAATACAATATTCATCCAATTTCCCTCGATGAGGCATTAGATGTGTACCATGTTGCTGCTTAGTTTTAAAAGATCATCATTCTGCCAATTTAGTGGTAACCCTTTAGCACTCAAATTAGAGTCACCAATACCAAATTCTCTTCACGTAGTTCCAATCTCAAGCAACCTAATCCATCTCCCTCCTCTTGAACCAGTGCTCTGGTTGTTGTGGGTTGCGGTTATCTTTTCTGTGTAGGCCACCATGACATCAAATAACTATTGTTTGGCTCTGTGGCCCCCACACTGCTTCATTAATAATCCCTGTTCTGAATGAAAAATAGGAAACAATCCTACGGAAGAAAAAAGATACTCTGCTTGAAATTGTCCTATGGGATTGCAATACGGAATGCATAGGAAACCTAGAAAGATGTTAGGTATTGCACTTGTTCAGTCAGTGTGACAAGCACACCCAAATTTTTTATGGCTTTGAAGAAATTACTAAAGGAACTTCTTTTGCTTCTCAACTATTAGGCACCACCACATTGTACACCTTGTTTCTGAGGATATATTTGAGTTTTGATGAGTTTACAGAGACTCTTGAGAGAATTTTTCTTCTCCCTTACCTGAGCCACCACCTTCGCCACCCCAATTTCTATATCCAAATGGTCGCCATTTTGGAAGCTAAGGGAACCCAAATCTGATGGTCTTCAGAGGCCCATAAACGGAAGTGTGATCACTAGACAACAACTTATCTGAATCAACATTGAAATGCCAAATGTTCTAGCTGAAATTGTTTTGGCGACGTGGCAAGTTTAAAGCATTGAAATCTTATAAAGAAGGTGGCATATAACTAAAGGCTCCATCAAGGAAATTGGAGGAAAATTGAATTCGAGAGGAATTGAGAGAGAGAGAGAGAGAGAGAGAGAGTTTGGAGACCGATAAATAGTTATTCTCCACATCATCACACACAGTTTTGGTTCTGATTATGCAATTGATAAGTTCAGGTGTTCTTTATAGCCAAGTGGGGGTGGGGGTGGGGAAGGGTGGTTGATATCTCTCAAATAAGCAACTCTCTCGGAAGTCAGTTTCCCCGCCATCCCAGTGGGACTAGTCTAATAAACTTTCACTTGATATAATTCAAAAAAGGTGCAATTCACAACAGCATCATTAGAAAAAATCAGTGCAATATATTGCAAGCAACAAACTTCTACTCCATGAAGTCCATGGGTGCAACAGTTATGTAAACAAGACAGTCTTTATACATGTTTCCCCAACTTGCTGCATACCACTACAAGTATTTGATCTAGTTCAAAGAACATTCTGTATGGTCTTAACTTTTGAAGTGCATATCATCAATTTTAACATGACAGAAAGACATTGAGGCCTTCAAATTCAGAAAATTAAACCCAAAAAAAAAAAATGGCTTAGGTCAACGTGTAATTTAAAGTCAACAAACCTGAAAGTAAATTTCATGAGCAACAATCTCCAATTTGGGTCTAAAAGCAGATGACTTAAAAATTTCATAATTCTCAATTGAAAAATCCATTCGGTCAAATTATACTCGAATCGTCATATAGAATTTAAGACCCTTCTTTGAAAGCCTTTTCATGGGGAACCAAAGCGTAGCAATCAAAATAATGCGTATCACACTTCCGCGATCATCACCGCGTGCGTGTGTGTGTATAGAGAGAGAGAGAGAGAGAGAGACTTACGGGCAATAAGATTTGGAGAAAATAGCGATCTTGTTGGAGTAGATGACGTTCTGTACATAGCCTGATGCTGAATTGGAGGCTAGGGCTTTCGTTGGTGCAGTGCCCATCAATAGCATAACTACTACAAGTAATACTCTCAGAACATCGAGGCTGAGCGTCTTCTTCATCTTCTTCTGTCTCTCTCTCTCCTGAAATGTCCGAAACTTCTAACGCAGGAAGAAGCACTGTGCGACTCGTGCAATACTAGTTTGCCGTTTGCGTGACGCTGACTACGATTCTTACAAAGGGCTTTTGCAGGGCCATTACCTTTCGAGAATCCAACGGGCCCGTAAGCCCATAAAGCTGTTTTTGTTTAAATTTTTATAGGTCCGTACACAATTTTTATAGGTCGGTATACAATATAAGACTTAATTGAGTAAAAGCCATTTGGGTAAAACTATTTATAAAGAGGTCATTTTTATTTGTGAACGTCAAATATACCTGTAATAAACACTAACCACCGTCATCTCATGAATTTGGAAAACAATAGGAAATCAAGCATCATTCCTAAAATATTTGGCCACTAAGATATCGGCAAAATAAGGTGTTTGAAATTCAAACAAAAAAATATCATAAAATTTATAAGATTTCAACCAAATCAAAAACACAAACAACTAAAAATTTTGAGAACCAAAATATTTTTTTGCTTGTGTAGTGATTGTACATACATTAGAACACCATTGATTAACACAATGTGACATGATAGGAATACATCACAGTGCAACAATTTCATTAACACTTTAATAACTGGCAAAAGATTTGCAATTGTATTTTATGATTCATACACGATCTAAATAGTATATTTTACACAATGTGACACTTAGAGCTTGACAAAGACATATATTGTGTTTAAGAATGACAGTTTAACAATACAGTACATCAATCGACGTTCAAGTAAAAAATCAGATGAAGTAATACAAATGGGAGCAAGAGCAGATTACTTCAATGAAGGAAATATATTATTTGATTTGGACATAGATCAACGAAACTAGTATGTCAAATGCAAAGCAAAGGGAAAACTCTTGAATAAATTGATCGTGGTGGTTTTATAGAAAAGGTGGTGAGAGATATGGTTTTATAGTTTTTCGTTTCTCCTGATGTTGGGAAGCTATAAGTAGAAAAGTTGAAGTAGAATAAGATGTTGAAGAAAAATAGTACCAATGTTGAAATAGAGAAATCAGACGTTTGAAGTATAACACTAGTCGTTGAAATAGAAGAATATGATATACGTTTAAAATTCAAAAATTAAAAGATCTTTAAAAATATTAAACCTCTGATTTAATAAAACAAATTCCACGGAAAAAAAAAACTGTCAAACTAATCATGAAATTTGAAAAATTATCTTTCAGTAGAGACAAAAATTTAAAAACTGTTATTGTGTATATAGACATAATATATTTCCAACTAATAAAACTTATCTACAATATATTCTCAATAAAGTATTTTGTTATTTATGTGGTGTCTATCCACAATTTTCTGTTTTGTTTATCCTATCTCTGCCTTTTTATGATGGTTCGAAAATGAATCTCATGCATGGATGAACTATTTGGAATTGACAGTTAACTACTATTTAGTTCCTAAATTATATTATTTGTGTTAATTTAGTCCTTAGAATTAAGTTACTTTGATGAAAATTCTTACATGCACATCACGTGAGTCATAGATTAACTTTTAGTTCAAGGACCATATGATGTGCATGTGAAGATTTTCATCAAAGTTAATGGTGAATTTTGACGGAAGGATCATATTGAGTTAAATTGCATAATTTAATGTCTAAATTAATACAAAATATAATTTAGAGGTTTAATTAACATAAATAATATAATTTAAGAGCCAATAAGTAGTTAACTCCAAAATTAATTTGGATTAAAACTCTTTTTGGCTTGTTCATTCATATAATGAATTTAACTCAAACTCAATTTTAAATATTGTTCAATAAATAAAGTAAGCCTCAATACTCATCGATGTTTGTTAACACAAAACATCTATATAATAAAGTACAACACAATTCAAATTTTAAAAATAAATAAAATGACTTTTGTTTTTCGCAGTTGAGATCTCTTTAAATTTTATTTTAAAATTAATCCGACGGCTAATATTAACACTCTAAATTTAATAAGAAAAATAAGTCCAAAAGATTGTGTTTGTGATAACTTTTTAAAAGTATTTCTAGAATTTATAATTTTTCATAAGTACTTATAAAAAAAAATAATTTTTGGAACTATCCCACCACTACCACTACCCCCCACCACCACCACCACTACTACTACCACACCTGTCGCCCCATCATCACTATTACCATCACCACTACCACTATTCCTTTTGCCTCACCATTACCATGATCACCGCTGTCGCCACCCTACCACCACCACCCCCTCTTCTACAACAATAATTACCACTATCGTCTTTGTTGCCATCACCATCACCCCACCACTATCATCCCATCATCGTCTCTCAACACTACTATTGTCGTCTACCATCATTATCATTGCTCGCGCCCAATTACTACCGATGCTTAAATTCCTTTCTTTTTTTTTTATCTTTGTAATTTGATTTTATGTGTAAATACAAATATGTTTATTGTTAACTATTTTTTTTATTACTCAATGTACGGAAAATAACTAGCACATATTTATATAATAAATTAGAGTTTGAACTTATGAGGGGTATATTTTTTCTTCCAAATTTCACACTCCCAACACATACTTTACCCCCCATATTTCAAAAACCAAAAGCACACACTTCACAACACAAAATTGTATATATATATATATATATACACTCCAATGCACACATTCTAATACATGCACAATATAAATAATTTAATGTACAGTGACTTTAATCACAAAGTATCACTAATGTGTGTGTATATATATATATATTCCTTGTTATCCGTTATTGTTTAATTAGATATAGTACCAATGTAGAGCACCTAAGTGGTCAATATTGATTTTAAATGAACCCAACTCGATCTTGATCACACGTTCGAATTTGGAGTTTGTTTAAACTGCATCGTTGGGTCTCTGTAATCGAAGCATTGACTTGAAAAAGACGAATCTCTAGGTCCCAGCACGCAGCTGGATGAATGTCTTTAATTAATACATCAAGAATTTGTTTTAGTTTTGTTTAATTAATTCTCTTTTCGATTTTATTAAAATTAAATTATTTATATTGAAATTAAGATATTTAACATTGATAATTTGTTCATAGCCCAAAGAATTTCTAAAATCGAACTTGGACGTGTTCGTCCCTGTTACCGTAAGGAAGTTACAAAAGAGCTAAAAGAAAAAGACACACCTCCTTTGCAGCAAATTTTTCCATAATCAAGAAACCCAAATTCTAAGTTTCTTAATGATAGTATCAACCCATTCATTACATCATAATCATGAAATTATAAAAATCAAATTGGGAAAAAAATCAAATAAAAATCTGTCAAAGATGAAATACAAATCTGTATCACGAATCGCTCAATCCTAAGAAGGCTTGGAATTGGATTTAAGATCAGAACTTGGTTTGTAAAGCTTGTTGTATTCGTCCAGCTCGTCGTAGTAGACGTCCCAAACGCATCGGACACATCCGCTGCCGCAACAATCCCCAGGCAACGGCTTCTCCGGCGGCGGCGGTGGCGGAATCGATTGCTTATTTGCCTCCGGTGTGTTCTCAATGATCAACTTGGAAGATTCACCGTCTAACTCGCTCCCCTTCCTCCCCGTTTCATCCGCCATTTTGTCCGTGTTGCCTAAGCACAAGAGCTTCAAATGTTGAGATCTAGGGTGATGGTGGATTGCAATTCGATTGGGAGTAATTCTTCGACGTAGGATCGAAGATATCATGCCCAATCTAGAATCATTATTCTGGCTTCGTCGTGTTTGACGGTTGGTAAGCGGCGGCGGTGGTGATTTGTACGGCAATTGCTCGATGAATATATATTGATTTTGATGATGCAGGGCAGTTTCCATACAACAAACAGCCCCTAATCCTTGCTTTTGCTGTGATATATTTGTACCGACGGCCGTATAATTTTGACGCGTTGACTTGTTCCAACAGGTATCCTGCGTTGCAACGGCGCATTTCTTAGGACAATTGAGACAACGATGAAAAATAGGAAGGTGGAACGCAGAACGGATACACGTTTTTATTCTTTGATCATGAAAAATAAAAATCATATACTTTTTTTTTTTTTTTTTTTTTTTTTTTGTGTTTAGTCAGATGGATGAAAAATAAAAATAATTAATTTTTTTTTTAATTTTTTTTTGTGTTGACTAAAATTTGGTGTAACAATCGAATCGTGTCGTGTCAGATTTGTATTGAATTATAAAATTATAAATCTTTTATATTTATTGTTCGCGTGTTATGTTATTTTTAAATTCGTGTAGAGTTAAAATCAAGTTCGTGTCATAAAATTCGTGTCGAGTTCAAATCGTGTCATCGTGTTAGAGTCGAAAACTTTCACCTCTAATTAAGATGAATTTTTTTTTTAACTTAAATTTTTTTTTTAATTTAATTTTTTTAATTATATATATATATATATATACACACACACACACATATTTTATCATTATATTTTTATATGAAATTAATATATACATAATATATAGACAAATAAGATACATCTCAACATAAATAATTAACTTTCTATCCACTTTCTTTTCGATTTTAGAAGGATTGATTTTGGTGAATTGGAAGAAAAATTAATCCATCTACTTTTCTATCCTTCCTTACCAAACATAAAGTTTTATTTATTCCTCTAACTTTCCATCTTTTCATTTTTTCATCGTACCAAACGGAACATTAGTGAACTCGAACATTCTTTGACCGTTAAATAAATAAAAAATTAGTACAGTGAGATTGAAATACGGAATTACATCCTCTTTAATACATTTTATCTTAAATTTTCTTTGGAATAGATTACTCATCATGCATTTAAGTGTAGGTTTTTCACTTCTTACTAATAAATAATCTATCAAAGAAGGGAATTAAAAAAATTATGTATTAAAAAATATATGGATCCTCCAAATATCTCCCATATATTTTTCTCAATTTCACTTAATTATAAATTTGGGTGAAATACGGTAATAGTCCATACAAAATGTGTTTTTGTGCCATTTTGGCCTTCATTTTTTTTTATTGTATCATCTTACTCTTTCAAGTTTTAAATTCGTGTCACTTTGATTTAATCAAAAATAGTTGTTTAAGTTGAATGACTAAGGTGTTTTCGCATATTTCATGTGGCTACACTTAAAAATGTCACTTTGGTCCCTCAAGTTTGTCATGCGGTCCTTCACATTTATAAAATTTGTCCTTTTAGTTCCTTAAGTTTTTGAAAAATGCCCCTCAAATGTGGTCATATGAGATACACTTGACCATCTTTGTTAACCAATTCAAATCACTATTTTCAATTGAACTAAAATGATACAAATTAAATACGTAAGGAAACAAATTAACAGAATTGAAAGATTGTGGGTCAAATTGACACAAATCGCATAATTTGGGGACAAAAAATACATATTGTCCTATAATCTTATAGAGAATAGTCTTGATGCAACAGTGAGGGTGTTTCATTTTTTCATTCTTGTTATTTTCTTTTTATTTTTCGAAAGGGTTCACTAATATACTGGCCAAACAAAGATACATTTTTTTTTCAGTACATGTCAATAGCCACGGCAAGACTGGGGGAGTGTTCTTTCGAATGACTAGACATATAAAGGATATGTAGACGATCAATCAAGTTGAAAATAAAGTCACCAAAAATTGATGAAATGCAATCGAAACCAATTCACTGAAGTATAGGTTGTATAGTAGTTATGTGGTGGCTTAGACTCTATCCCTTTCTTTTGTTCACCAAAGTAAGGAAATTGATGTTAAAAAATGAGTCAAAGTGACCACAATCATTTTTGGCCTTCAAGTTCTAAAAGTGTCTTTGTTTATGAATTTTCATGTTTCAAAATGCAGTGTAATAGGTAAAATTTTCCTTTTAATTTACTAATGAATAGCAATCACCTACAAAATTCTACCTCTTTAGTATCTTAGACTCTCAAGTCTTGTTTTGATGAATTTTTGGAGAGGGTTTAGGTTAGTTTCTCTAAATCTAAACCCCTTTTTACAGAGATGAGATTCAATATTGAATCCGATCCATACTCAAATTTGATATACAACATATAAACATGTAAGACCCACAAATATATCATAATTATTAACAATTATTTATCTTGTAAATGACTATTTTATCTTTAATCAATTCAATTTATATTCATGTTAAAGAGTATAATTATCTTTTGTATCTTTAACTCCTTAATCTATCTTTCCAAACTCACCTCCCCTTAGATTTGACAAAACTCATGATCATGAGTTTAATATTCAAGTCAACTACGAACCAGGTTCAGAACCTAAGATTGAATTTTCAATCTAAACATAAAATTTGAGAATTCTTTGAACAATTTTCTCCAACCTCACCTTACCAAGGCCCTATACCCTTTTACCAAACAGCCTCTCAGCGTCAAAGTGCGCAGGTGGGGTTGGGCTCCACAATTCCACAGCCTGAAAGACCGGGTCCATGACTTTTAAAGCTCAATAAACTCCGCATGTATACTTTTGTGCACAGCCAGTCTAAAGTCTAGATAAAAGAAGGACTGTGTTAGAAAACTGACAACCAGTGTAACACGATCAAACATGAACACGAACCTTTATAGCTCAATACCTCAGTGTTTGTCTTAATACGCACAACAGAGAACAGGAAATAATAGCAATAAACCATTATTGTTTAGATTTTCCAAGGAGCATTGTTAACTGCGTCATGCCACATAGTATTCTGGATTACCCTTTATTTTGAACCCTGAAGATAGGCGCATAGTGCTTCATACTATATAAGGTTATGGTTTCGAAGGAAGAACCGGATATGGACAGTTCCGGCTTTATCTAGATGTTCTCTTCAACCCCAAGTAGAGTAGCACCAGCCCAATGTAATTAAAGCTATAAGCCAATCTCAGGAATTGCATCTTAAAATCATTCCAAGGTGGATACCTGGCCTCCAGTTCAATTAAGAAGCTCCTTTGTAGAATTGCCTTTTCATTACTGAAAGCATCAAAAGAGTACTTGCCATGGTACCTTCCAAAACCACTCTGACCGACACCTCCAAATGGTAATGTGTCACATACAAACTGCAAGTGTCACAAGATATGCGAGTAATGCTCTTAGTTCTTTAGTTACAATTTCTTGTTTAAAAAGAATGGAATTAAAATCAGAAGAAGGAAGGCAGTACATGAACCATCACGTCGTTGAAAGTCACGCTTCCTGATGACGTTTGTGTTAAGATCTGTTTCTTGAATGCTTCATTTTTGGTGAACGCATAAATGGCCAAAGGTTTTGGTCTCGAGTTGATAACCTCAATGCTTTCTTGAATGTTATCCAACTGGAAAAGACCAACATACTTGATGAAATAACTGTTTTGCAAAACATCAAAAGAAAGTAGGTAAATGTTTCTTACACTAATGATTGGAAGCAATGGGCCAAATATCTCTTCAGTCATGATCTCAGCATCAAGTGGAGGATCCAACAAGATTGTTGGCTCAATGGTCCTGTAAATGTTTGTCAGATAGAAATTAGGGGCATTTCTAGCATGGATCCGAGTATTTGGGTATGTCAGCAAAGAGGGAAATTGGAAGTGAAGAAAAGAGACAGTAGTTACAAATTCTCTTCATCTACTGAACCCCCATGAACAATGGAAGCTGCAACAATGGGATCTTCAAGAAGTTTCCGCACCCTATCAAAGTGATGCTTGCTGACAATTTTACTTAGGTTCTTCAAGTTTTTCAAGTTTTCACCATAAAATCTTTGGATAATTTTCTTCAATAGATCAACCTGGAAATTAACAAATGCATGACAGACATGGCAACTGGAATTCACTAGACTTGAACATTTCTGAGATATTAGTAGAGTGAAAGTATAATCAATACCAGAATATAAGCATTTTTCCTTTCCACAAGAACATAATCAGTTGCTATGCATGCTTGTCCACTACATGCCCCCCACTTTGCACCAGCTATTCTTTTGACAGCCACCTTGAAACCATCACATTGAAACAAGTAAAACAAGTGTAACCGATTGAAAAATGGATTGCTCTATATCTCTGTTCCACCAGCTCTAGAAAGTGCAACACTGTAAGCCAGGCAATTCTTATGGCTAAGGGAGATGAGAAGGCCAGGTTTGGTTGGGAAAGTGTGGTTACTTATTTTGATATCTCCATTTGTTTGTAACCTTTTAAGGTCTGATCTCAAAATGGAGTCCTTCCCACCTAAATTAGATGACTTTTTTCATATGAAAGGAAGGGGTCCTGCCAAACTCCCTTGTTATAAAAGATATAATCAATTAATTGCCTTGTTCAAACAAAAAAATTTAATTGCCGAAGAGGAAAGAGAACCTCCATATCTGAGGAGCCAGAAAGAGAGTCGAGAATGGTGGGGCACTTTCCCCCAAGCTCTAAAGTAACGGGTGTTAAATGCCTGGCAGCTGCAGACATGACGATGCGCCCCACTTGTGGACTCCCTGAATTAGCATTAGGCAAAAAACAATGATACTGATCATCTGCTCTATTAAAACTGTTAAGTTTATCATTGTTTCATTTCAACTCTGGTTATTAACAACCATGTAGACACTGGTGGTCCAACTTTTATAGACCAGCACTGATGGTTTAATAAGCTCATGCTCAGTGTGGATTATATTCAAGAGAGATTATACTTAAGAGATGTGAATGTAATGGTGTGAGAAGATACCCGTAAAGAATATCTTGTCCCATTTTTCCTGCAGTAGTTGTTCGGCTATGTCCGTACCACCTTCAATTACTTTAATGGCTTTGGGGTCCAAGTAAGATGGGAGCGCACTAGCAAGAAAAGAAGAGCATGCTGGGGCTAGCTCGGAAGGTTTTAGGACCACTGTGTTTCCAGCTGATATTGCTCCAATCAATGGGTCCAATGACAGTGCTGCATATGGTCAGATGGTTGCTTAATGTGAATATATGAACAACTGCATAAGACAATTGAGATATATGCTACTTAAGTGGGTGACATGAGGGAAGATAAAGCCTACAAAAAGTCCCAGAGAAAGTATCGTATACACTACTCTTCACCATATTGATTCAATACTTGATATCAACATTGATTACTAGTGCTTCTGTAGCAAAGGAATTTATGATTTCCTTATCCTGCCAGCTCAGAAGAATTAATTAGAAGTGTCACAAATACTGCTAAAAATTGAACAACTCACAGATTGGGAAGTTCCAAGATGCAAATATGAGTACCACGCCGAATGGTTCTGGCAACACTTCTCCTTTAGATGGGAAGAAAAGTAATGGTATATGCCCCTGCACAAAAAGGATAACTGGTAACTGAAAAAGATTTAAGATAGATTTTTTCTTCTTTACAATAGTGTTGATCCAAACAAAGTTCTCCTATACCCTTAACTTAAGAAGTGAGCAAATTCAAATTTATCCTGAATCATTTATTGTCCCTCTAGCACTCATGAACGTTAATAGCGCTAAAATAAATCCTAAATTTGACCTAAAATTTCAAATGATATTAAATAACTGTACACCATATTTTTCCTTGTTTTCTTTACAAGCTTTGCCTTTAACTCTCGGATTTGTTAAACCACCAACTAATCTAAAAGCTTAAGCTGCTAGATTGGATTTACCTTAAGTATTTATATACTTCAAAGGGAAGAACTACTGTTTAAGTCTTCACATGTCTATATTACCCTACTTAAATTTGGAACTAACTGTTCATTTAATGATTTTGTGTTCACATAATTATTCTGCTCCAGTAGAAGTAGTGACACAATATAGTCATAGCTTCATCAAGTGTAAGTAATATAGAAATACTTTCATATGTCTTTCAATTGGTGTTAATTGCCTATCAAAAGTCCTAATTATCAATTCTTGAAATTACCTAGACGCATTTAAGCTTGAAAACAAATTCCTACAATGATTATGTTTCTGCGTCTCATTGATTTATACATCAACAATATAAAAAAAGCAGAGGAGTGCTGGCCTTTGGTTGCAAAAGGAAAATCAATCCAACTAACCTTTTTGGGGGCCATCCATTTCTCTACACAGTTCAAAGCAAGGTTGGCCGATTTCTTCACTACACCAACCTACAGCATCGTACACCAGCCAGAGTTTGCTTATTAAATAGATAAGACATAAAAACTAGGATGAAGATGGTGACGGTGACGGTGACGGTGATGAGGATGATGATGAACCAGTATGCACGAGTTAGAGCTCCAGTAAAAACAAACAAACACTAGCACTTGTACACAAAGGGCTGTTGTTTTGGTGATTAAGCAAGTTACACAGACCATGTGTGTGACAAACATTTTAAAAAACTCGGTTATCAAACAAAAATTCAAAGCACTGGCCCAATAACCGGGACAAATTTCTTTTCTTAGGAACACATATAAGATTCGTCACTAGAAAAAGGATAATGGTAATCTCACCATTAACTACTTCATTTACGAAGGGTTGAACATTCAAGATAAATTAAATTTGATGTACATGTAGCGGAATTCTGAAAAAAAGCAAAATCATAGGACTGGTTACAGAATCAAAAAACCTAGTTCTTGTAATATAACTCAATCACACGAGGGTTTGTCTATGCAAATTCTGACTTTTCGTATCTGGCTCAAATTCAACTCATTCAAATTGCTAATTCGTAGTTACTTAAAACATTCTGAAATTGTTGATTCAATAACTTCCAAGAAATTAATTTGATGAGTTTGGAAAAAAAAAAAAAAGAAGGAACTTAAACCTCATCACGGTAGGCTTCCACAGGGTGCTTCCCAAGATCTTGTTCAAGTGCCTTGAAAATCTGATCTTCATTGTCGGTGAGAAATTTGATGATAGCTCTGAGTTGGGTCTTCCTCCATGCAACCCCTCTGGTTCTGCCACCCCTGAAAGTTTCTCTGACCTCTGCTAAACTCTTTCCTAGTTCCACCATTTCATTCATGGTGAAAGATGGCTACATTCACACACGGTATCCGCTTATAAATCACTCAAAAACAGCACATACATAACAACACGTTTAGGATAAGTACCTCTCTCTCTCTCTCTCTCTCTCTCTCTCTGTGGACTATCTCAGCTTGGTGACCAGAATTAAATATGGTGACCCAACCAAGCTTCAAATTCAACCTTCATACCGAGGAAAAGGACCCTGACCAACCTTGTTCCTCGCCGGTGGGTAACTTTACAGAGTGGATCAAGTAATGTTGTCAATACATTTGTTTTGCAATCCAAATAACAAATGTCAGTGCATTGCGGCAACAAACTCTACTCTTTATATACAAATAAGTCAAGTTTTATAAATTTAAATTGAGTTAAAAAAATTATTTAAATTTAATTTATTTAAAACACGACTTGAGTTTGAATCGAATTCTATTCAAATCAAACCCAAATCAAACTCAAATAATTTAATTCAATTATCAACTCTAATTACGTCCGGTGTTTTTATTTGCAAAGACTAACATTTTACAAATAAATACATTACTCGTGTCCCACAAAAGGGGATGCTTTGGTTCCCCCCTTTCGTGCGACAAGAAGGATGTGTTTAACCTTTGTTAACCGTATCCTTGCAACATGGTAACTGATGAGATCACATTTAATGTCATCCCATCCGATAATTTACTGGAAAATTTGTTAACCCCAAGTTTCAAGTTTGAATTTGATTAATTATTGGATGAGAATAAGTTAAAATTCATACATAATATATTAAAATTCAATTTAATTGGATAATTCGGGTCGCATCCTTGAATTTATTTTTTTTATTTCATTAAATTTAAATACGATTATAAAAATAAAATTCATCAAGTATTAAGAATGAATTTTCATTCAGGATAGTTTTCCTATTACACCCACCCAAAAATAAATAAATAAATAAATAATCTCTACTAATGCTAAAACACATGGGTCCCACATATGGTGTCTCGTTTGGAAAGATTAGTCGTCTTTATGGTATCAGCGTGGTTCATCGATAAATGTGGCTCAAGTGGATGTATCTCCACCGCCCCCTCCTCTTCTACTGTTTTATTACGTTAGCCTCGGGTAGTTAATGGATAGAGTTGATATTTAAGTTGAGTTTAATGAATTTATTTTTTAAAATAAATTAAAAAAATTATTTAAATTTGGAACATTTAGAGAATAAGTTAAATTTGAATAGTTCAATTATTTTATATATAATCGAATCAAGCCTGAAAAATGAGTTTAAAAAATTATTTAAGTTAAAATCAAGTCTTATATAAGTCGAATTCGAGTCGAGCGCGAATAACTCGACTCGATTATTAACCTTACTTATGGAAGATCCTGACAACTAATTGCTTTTTTGATTCAGTTCCATTTTAAAGTATTTCTTTTAAGCCTTTTTTTTTTGGTTAATCATTCACCATCAATATAATAAAGTACAATATAATTCAAATTTTGAAAGATAAACAAAATAATATTTGTTTTTCGTGGTTGAGATTTCTTTAAATTTTACTTTAACTTAATCCGATGGCTAATATTAGCTCCCAAAATTTAATAAGAAAAATAAACCCTAAAGGTGTGTTTGAGGTGACTTTTTAAAAATACTTTTACAACCTTTAACTTCTCATTAGTATTTTTTTTAAAAAAAAAATAGTATTTAGAATCATCTCACAATCACTATCACTATCACCCCGCCACCATCACCCTACCCATTGCCTTACCACCTTATCGACCCCATTACACCACTATCGTTGTCGCGCACCATACCATTACCCTCACCATCATTACCGTTGTCGCCACTCTACTATCACTATACCTACCATTACCACCGTCGCTACCACCACTGTCATCACCTCACCACCATCACCATCATTCCCACTACCTCCCACCCCACTATTACCTTGTCGTCACTGTTCTATCATTTCCCTTACTGTTCCACTACTACCCCCACGACCATCACCACTACCACTACCATGGTCGTCACCTCCACCATCGCCACTACTGTCCACCACCACTATTATCACTCACTCACACTACAACTAATGCTTAAATTCATTTTTTTCTTTTTTATATTTATAATTTGATTTTAGGTGTTAATATAAATATGTTCATTTCTCTGAGTACAAATAATAACTAATATATTAATGAGTGATTGACTTACGTACAATAAACCTTATTTAAATTTACGATAGTTAATCTATCAAAACATGAAATTAAAAGATATCGAAAGAAAATCTCACTCCAAATTTTTGTTTCTCGGTAGTATATCTTTTTTTTTTTTTTTTGGATGTGTAAAAAAAGGAATAGGGGTAAAGGATAACGTCCAAAAACCACCTTGATAGCTTTTCACTAATGGAATAATGAAGTCTCTAACCACGCTCGTTATTTCTCTCATGAACGAACCTAACTAGGATAATAATTAACCACTGAACCTCAATACGGACTCCAAAACTCAAACCTTTAACCTTAAGATGAGAAATTTAGCCGATATTTTACTAGACCACCTCACTCGATGATTCTCGCTAGTGTTTCAGGGACGTGATAATCAATGACTGAATACATGGCTGTGACAAGGAAGAAGAAGGTAGGTCTGGTAGTCCATTAGTTCTTTTTCATTCCATGGCAACACAAAAAAAAAAAAAAAAAAGAAAAAGCAACCATTGCATAATAACGAAGTATAAATTTTGCACAAAAAGAAAAATTTCAGGGTGTGACTTGAGCGAATCCATTTGAATTGAATAACGATTTCTAGAACAATAAGAATTTGGCTTGGGAGATGCAAAAATATCCGACCTATTTAAATTTACTATAATTCACTTGAGTTAAGCTTGAATTTTAACATGAAATTTTAATTAAATTTTATTTGAGTCATGGTACTCAAGTTAAAATTTTTAAATGTGAAGTCTATATAAATTGAAAAGTTGAGATTGATTTTGAAATTGTATTCAACTTGACTTGGTGGGAATTTTGTGGTTAGAGCAGTGTTCCGTTTGGTTGGAAGTATGAAAAATAGGAAGGGTGNAGTTAAGCTTGAATTTTAACATGAAATTTTAATTAAATTTTATTTGAGTCATGGTACTCAAGTTAAAATTTTTAAATGCGAAGTCTATATAAATTGAAAAGTTGAGATTGATTTTGAAATTGTATTCGACTTGACTTGGTGGGAATTTTGTGGTTAGAGCAGTGTTCCGTTTGGTTGGAAGTATGAAAAATAGGAAGGGTGAAAAGTAAGAGGGATACATTTTCTATCCTTCAAAGATGAAAAGTAGAAATAATACAGTTTTCTTCCTTTATTTTTGGTTGGGTGGATGAAAAATAAAAATGACTAATTTTTTTTGTGATAACTAAGATTAAAGTTGACAATCGAGTCGTGTCGTGTTAGATTTGTAANAAGAGGGATACATTTTCTATCCTTCAAAGATGAAAAGTAGAAATAATACAGTTTTCTTCCTTTATTTTTGGTTGGGTGGATGAAAAATAAAAATGACTAATTTTTTTTGTGATGACTAAGATTAAAGTTGACAATCGAGTCGTGTCGTGTTAGATTTGTAATGAGTCATAAAATTATGACTCTTTTATATTTCTTGTTCGCGTGTCAAGTCATTTTCAAGTTCGTGTCGAGTTATAATCAAGTTCGTGTCATAAAATTTGTGTCGAGTTCGAGTCGTGTTATCGTATTGAATCGAAAATTTTCACCCCTAATTAAAATAAAAAATATTTTTTTAATTTTTATTTTTTATTTTTTTTAATATATATATACACACATATTTTATCATTATATTTTTATATGAAATTAATGTATACATAATATATATAGACAAATAAGATATATTTCAACACAAATAATTAACTTTCTATTCATTTTTCTTCCGATTTTAGAGGGATTGATTTTAGTGACTTGGGAGAAAAGTTAATCTATCCAGTTTTCCATTCTTTCTATTTTTTTTTATCAAACATGATATTTTATTTATCTTTTTAATTTTTTATTTTTTTATCGTACCAAACGAAACATTGAGGTTCGTTCTTGTCTCAACTCATTTTGGAGTATTGCTCGTTTAACTTGTGATTTGAGAGGGAGAGGGAGAGAGAACCTATGACAGAACCTATGAGGCAATGTCTGAATTAGACAACGTTAAGACTCAGTTTGAACCTCTGACAGAACCTACGAGGCAATGACTGAATTAGACAACGTTAATTTCTTCAAACACTCAACATCAATCTCCTCCGTATTGATCTTAGCTGATTTTACTCTGACCTAGAAGTAAGGGGGAAGTCTTTTGAGACATGTTTCAGTCTGGCTTCAGCTATAAACCAGTGTTCACCTTCTATAATATATCATTATTTTTTTACAAATAAGCAATGTTATACACTTTAAATTTGTGCATAAAAAATATGCACTAAATCATTGCTAGTTGTTGGATTAATTACACTCACTATTATCTCATGGTTGACAATAATTTAATGCACAAATTTAATTCACATAAAATTATTTATTAACTTTTTGATCACCGTGCCGTTATATTACCCGAAAGGGTGCAAATTTATTGGGTTCCCGGGACCATTATATTATATAATTTAGTCTGTCAATGAATTAAATTTTAGTTTAAACTTGATCCAAATTTGAGTTCGTTTAATTAGATATGAACTAATATTTTCATCCATTTATCTGAATCCGTCTAAATATCTTAAATTGATTATGAGTATAGATATATAAAAATTTAATTGGATAAAAATTCGATTTGATTAATAAATACATATAATATATATGTATGTTGACCTTTATTACATATAATATATTTTTATATATTATGATCAGATTGGATAATAGGATCCGATGTCCACATATAAACAAATTCGGATATGAACTAATATTTTTATAGCCGTCGGGTCAAACGGCCGAATTTAATAATGATTTTTTTAATTAGAAAAGAATTCAAATTTGGGTAGATCCAAATCTAATCCGAATTCAATCGATTGATAGGCCTACCATAAGACTTACAAGTATCTGGCCACTCGGTTTGGCTGGAGTCTGGACTCCTATAAATGATCTGAATTAATAGCAAAGATCAAAATGAAATATTTATGTTTTCAAAGAATTTAAAATGAATCAGTGATTGAAACAAAATTATAATATCTTAAAATATTTTGAAATATTTCAGCATGTGTTGAGTTTTTTCACCAATGTTATGGGATATTTCGAGATGTTTTTGATATATTTCGACTAATGTGTTAAAATATTTTTAAAAAAAATCCCTAATTTTTTTGTCTGCTTTTTTTACTATTTCAAAAACATTTTTGTTTCTTAGGTGACCAAAATAATGCACCACTTTTTGATCATTGATTAATAATAGAAAGCTTAAATTTGAATGTAAATTCGACTTGTTTGATAAATGAATAAATTTAAACAAAATTCTATTCGAACCAATCCCCAATTATCTCATGCTGAAATAGACTCTTTATTAACATTCAATTTTCTATATTAAAAAGTCAATCGTTAAAATTTTATTTTTAATAGACTTTTTATTTAGACACTTTGAAATAAAAAGGTCTAATTTGACTTTCCACATTTAGAGAGTTTTTTTTTTTTATCAAACACATTTAGAGAGTTAAACTGATCACTCTCTACACTATTTTTTTAAAACAGAAAAATAATATATTTGTCTTTTCATCGATGACATTTAGAATAAAATATATCTCAATGCTAAAAAGAAAAGAAAAGAGGAAAATAATCAAATTTATTCTTAAAAATGACAATAAATCTATAAGAATAAAAAGTCTTATTGGAGTGATATACAAAATTTTATTATCTATTTTAACTTTTTGTCAAATGAGCTTTTTATTTAAAAAAAAAATGTTCTCTATTTTAGAGAGCAGTATAGAAGATCTCTTATACTAAAAGTTAAATTCATTTTGCTTTTTATCTACAAACTAATAACCCATTTACACTGCTGGGGAAACAAATTAAATCGAAATCAAACTGTTTTTCCTGCGCATATTACATGTAAATTTTCAACCACCTTTTCATGTATTAAAGTAATTTTCAACTACCTTTTCATGTATTAAACATTCAGATTTTTAGACCACTTCATGGTATGACACAAAACTAATAGGGTGTATTGCATTTGTACCTCGAAAGATTTAAGAATAATTTTTCTTTTACACTTTTAAATATTAAATTTCCCATATTACATCTTCAACGTATTAAAATTGTTGCGGTATGACCATTCCGTTTAACTTTCATTGCTAAACAATACAACAATTCTTGGCATGTTTCCATGTTGAAAATACCTCTAATACAACTTTGTTGAAGTTAAGAGAATTAGAATTACAATTGAAGAAAATAGTAATGAACATTGAAACTAAAAATGATTCATATTCAAGTGGGATTATAATCACATTCAAGATAGACTTTTCATTCAACTCAACTCTACTTATCTCTACTATTTTAGCNTTAGAATTACAATTGAAGAAAATAGTAATGAACATTGAAACTAAAAATGATTCATATGCAAGTGGGATTATAATCCCATTCAAGATAGACTTTTCATTCAACTCAACTCTACTTATCTCTACTATTTTAGTCACAATTTTCACCCCTACTTGCTAGTTGCTACTATAACACCCACTCTAACAAATTCTTCACCCACTACATGGTATATTAATAGGTCATCGACCCACTAGTATACCTTTTAAGAAATCTTAATAATATCGGAAAGAATAATGTTACATGGATTTAAAAAGTAGACTTAAAAATTAGACTGAATAATCTCAACCATTGATTTCATTGTGAATTCCAACATTTATTGAGACCTACTACCTATTCAATAGTTGAGATTATCNGGTATATTAATAGGTCATCGACCCACTAGTATACCTTTTAAGAAATCTTAATAATATTGGAAAGAGTAATGCTACATGGATTTAAAAAGTAGACTGAATAATCTCAACCATTGATTTCATTGTGGATTCCAGTATTTATTGAGACCTACTACCTATTCAATAGTTGAGAATATTAAGTTTAGTTTTTAAGTCTACTTTTTAAGTCCATGTATCATTACTATATAAGAAAGTATTGTTTACACATAATTTGATGATTGAAATTAGGTCATCCATGTAGCATTGGACTAATATTTTAAAAACAAGATTATTTTCCAACCTACATTACATGAGAGAGAGAGAGAGAGAGCTATAATCGTACATACATATGTGTTGTGTTGTCATGGTCAAGGACCAGACATAGCACGTTAGCAGTAGTAAATAGCGCCACAACCCATAAAGCCTTTTCACAAATGCGGCAACCATGTTCAGTTACACAACAATCACACTTTCTATTCTCACTTTCCCGATATAGTAACCATCCTCTCTTTCTTCTTTATTCTTCTTCTTCTTCAACAAGCAGTGTCTGTGTTCTCATCACCATCTCTGATCTGATCTGAAGCGGTAGAAGGGGAGATTCATAGGAAGGAAGAAGAGAGCTATAGATATGGGTCGTGGAAAGATTGAGATCAAGAAGATAGAGAACCCAACCAACAGGCAGGTCACTTACTCCAAGCGAAGAAATGGCATATTCAAGAAAGCTCAGGAGCTCACAGTTCTTTGTGATGCTAAGCTCTCTCTCATCATGTTCTCTAATACTGGCAAGTTCCACGAGTACATCAGTCCCACCACTACGTACGTATTCTCTTACACCCATTGACACATGAATATGAATGAATATATATGTGTGTGTGTGTTGGGGTGGTGGGGGGGGGGGGTTATGTGGGTAGACAAAACCCTAGTCTAGTACACTTGCAATTGATCATATGGCCTGGTTTTGTGGTTTGTTTTTGTTAACCATCAGGACAAAGAAGATCTTTGATCAATATCAGAGAACTCTAGGGATGGATCTTTGGAACACGCACTACGAGGTAGGAAACTGTGTGTGTGTGTGTGTGAAAATTTGATTTTGCAAGGAAAATGTGAAAATATTCCACTAATGGGTTGCTGCTGATTCTACTAATTGTTAATGTTTGTAGAGGATGCAAGAAAACATGAGAAGGCTGCAAGAAATCAACAAGAAACTAAGGAGAGAGATCAGGTGAAGCATAAAAAAACTATGTCATTTATGAGTTAGAAAATTTAAAAATTAGATTAATCGATCCTATAAGCTAGAAAGTGTACAAACTATAGTGGAAAAGTTTAGATTACATTTTCCAAGTACTTTAAAATTTTATTAGGGTATGGTTCCATTCGCAGGCAAAGAGTGGGTGAAGAATTGAACGATCTGAGCATGGACGAATTGCGCGGTCTTGAGCAAAACATGGATGGTTCTCTGGCTGTTGTACGCGATCGAAAGGTGTTGAATTGAACTTTAATTATCCAATTTTGATCTTAGGGTTTCTTTCCAACATGGACTAGCTAGCTTCGTCTTTAATTTGCTACGGATTTAGGGGACTTATCTTCGAAGTTCTAGAGCATCCTTTCTCACACCTTCAAAGTTTATCTTGATGTGATTTGAAGAGGAAATTGCCATAAGATTGAGATACATATGTTTGAATTGAAATTCAAAACAGTATTAATAAAATGGTTACCACATAATAACACAGATTTCTAAATTAGGTCTCAAAAACACATTCTTCCTAAATTCATGCTCTTTATGGAATTTGTAGCAGCTGTTTGGACTTGTAGCCGCATTTTGCTGCAGATTTAGCTGCAGGATGATTTCTGTTTGTTTTAATTTACACCTTGGACTGTTTTAACTAACAATCCAAAACTTTATGAACTGTGAACAGTACCATGTGATCAAAACTCAAACTGATACCTACAAGAAGAAGGTTAGTGAATCTAAGAGGTTCAAGTTATGGTTTCTTATCATTTGCTCATTCTCATTTCAAAATTATCAAACTGTTTATAGTTTTATTGTGGTTGCAGGTAAGGAACTTGGAAGAAAGACATGGAAATCTATTACTTGACTTAGTAAGTTTCTTGAATATATATACTTAATTGTTAAATTATTCATTGTTGGCTTTTTCGTAGAAGAAGAAATCTAAGGTTTGCCCTTGTTGTACAGGAAGGGATATCTGAAGATGCACAGTATGGGTTAGTGAACACTGAGGGAGACTATGGCTCTGCTGCTGCATTTGCAAATGGGGTGTCAAGTCTATGTGCTATCCGCCTTCACCTGAGCCACGATCACCATAACCTCCACCATGGAGGTGGCTTTGCATCCCATGATCTCCGCCTTGCTTGAGTAGCCACCAGAGGTCATCTTCCACGTTGGAAACTCGTCTACTATGTCTTATGGATAGATATCATGTTTGATCAATGTAGACCTACATATGCATATAAGTTTGCGGACTAATATCAGAATCAGTTACCAGAAACCAGAACAGCTTCTGGGAACTTATTACTTCTTGCATTATTATTTGTGTAACATTCTCTTGATGCTGCAATATTTCCTTGTGTCTTGGTAAATATTGCCCTTGATGTTGCATTTTATAACTTTTCATTATTAATGTAATCTCTTCTTGTTCTTGTTCTTCTTCCCCCCTATCTTTCACAGAAACTCTCTGTGTCTACATATATATATACACATTTGCATAGTTCAATCAGGGAGACAACTAGACAAGCATGTATACATAACTGATGGTTCTATAAGATATACAGTTGCATGTACCAAATTCTTGCACTGAAGCATTAATTGACTGCACATTACACTGGTTAATATAAGAATAATATGGAAAATGTTATTTGGACATAATTTGAGAACTTAATGATGTACAACCATTGAATTAGTTGTAGGTTTTATTTAACATTGGAACACATAATTAATCTAATGATTCTATTAAAATCACGTCATTAGGTCTCCAAATAAGGTCCCTATAACATTACTCATATAATATTGTTGCACCAAATAATGTGGCACAATAACAATCATTGAATTATAGGTTTGAGTAAGTGAAACGCACAAATCCAACTATTTACATTAATTTGTTACAAAAAATTTGATTAAAAATTTGGTCAGTATAATATTATTGATGCTAATCCATTCCTATAAGTACATGTATTATATAAAAATGCTTACTTTCTCATTTGGGTAGACCTGCCATGCATCTTTGGTGGGATAACATGTTGTATTCCGTGAAATACATCTGTTCCTCCACTGAAAGCATTATAAATTTTTTCTGTTTCTTTATGAAATTAACATGGGGATCAGGGAAAAATGAAAATTGCATCTTAAAGTAGTGGTTCTTTAAGGGTTTCTTCTTATTAATATCAACATAGTGTATGAGTAGAAAGAAGAACCCACCTAAGAAAGGATCTTAATCTGTAATTGGATTGAATGTTGCTTCTCATTGCACTTACAACTTCTTCAAGATGATGGAAAAAGGTTTCTGTTTCTAGGAAGTATTATTGGTATTCTGCAACGACATTGTCCTGTTTGTTAATCTATATGGTCAAAAAATTCTCATGTTCAAAGTAGTAACCTACGCTTTGTTGAGTTGAGTATAGTAGGAGACGATTGGATGTATTGATCCGTTGTTTGGGATTGGATTGTGAGAATTGAGGGAGAAGAGAGAGGGTGTGAGGCAAGGAGAGAGAAATGCCTACTGCTGAAAAAATCTTTCATGGTCAAGGATTTCAGATAACATCTTCAAGGCTAGCAATCCCTATGATCGTCTTAGTTGTATTCATTTATGAACTAATTAAATCATTGGAACAACAAAATCAGAATGCTAGATTGGATTGAAATCCACAGGATTGAAAATCAGCAATTGTAAATGCAAGCTTAAAGACCAGTTTTTGTAGATGAATTATTGCTTTGAGGCTTCTTAAAATCATGCTTTTAATAGTGGAGATCAATTTTTATTTCATATTTTCTTTGGGTAATATTTGGAATTTTCTTCAATTTAATTAATTTCTTTGTGATCTTAAGAAGAATAATTAAGAACAAACAGAGGGTATATATATATTATTATATTTTTTTGAATATGTAAATAGATTATTCTACATATTTGATATGGGACATTGTCCCTCGTCATCACACAATTATTTGTAAGAGATTCCATTGCATACACGTTGGAACCGAAGCTAAGGTCCTATTGTGTGTTCTGAGTGTTGAATAATAAGTTTAGTCCAACCGAGTTGTCGTAACTGTTGAGACTCAAATTTAAACATTATGCGAGGAATTCGAGTTTTTATCCATTGAACCAACCACATTTATTTATTGAACCAACCACTCCGTGGGAGGTATGAATATTATTGAAATGCTACAAAGAGTATTTTCCATTCAATTTCAACACAGGGTAATATGCTGGCGCATTTGAAACCAGTTTGAGATACAAACTGCTGACTTGATTACAAAAAGTAAGTCAAGATCCTAGAAATCGGTTTTAAAAAATTTCAAGAGGAAAAAGTTTCCACTTTGTTTATTGTTCCTTTTACTAGTGAAAATATAAATTTTGTCATTTCTTATGAACATCAATTACATTTTTACTCATTTTTTGCAACCAATTTGCTACAAAATAATGGGAAAACTTTATCTACACCCCTTATATTTAGACCTATCTTCAATCACATATAGAATATTTTGAACAAAAAATTAACTAAAAATAGAACATTTGATCCTTGCTCATTTTTAGAACGTTTCGATCTATTTTCGAAATATAATGAAAAATATAAAATATTTAAAAATTATTTTTTTAAAAATATTGGTTGAAGTATATTAAAGTAACTTGAAATATTCTGAAATAATTGTGCAAATATATTGAAATATTATAAAATGCCTCAAAACATTTAAAACACTTCAAAATATTAGAAATTTTTTTCATAATTATTTTTTTTTGGTCTCCTTAAAAGTAAAAACATTTCAGACTTTTTGACCGAAATGAAATTNGGGTTTCTTCTTATTAATATCAACATAGTGTATGAGTAGAAAGAAGAACCCACCTAAGAAAGGATCTTAATCTGTAATTGGATTGAATGTTGCTTCTCATTGCACTTACAACTTCTTCAAGATGATGGAAAAAGGTTTCTGTTTCTAGGAAGTATTATTGGTATTCTGCAACGACATTGTCCTGTTTGTTAATCTATATGGTCAAAAAATTCTCATGTTCAAAGTAGTAACCTACGCTTTGTTGAGTTGAGTATAGTAGGAGACGATTGGATGTATTGATCCGTTGTTTGGGATTGGATTGTGAGAATTGAGGGAGAAGAGAGAGGGTGTGAGGCAAGGAGAGAGAAATGCCTACTGCTGAAAAAATCTTTCATGGTCAAGGATTTCAGATAACATCTTCAAGGCTAGCAATCCCTATGATCGTCTTAGTTGTATTCATTTATGAACTAATTAAATCATTGGAACAACAAAATCAGAATGCTAGATTGGATTGAAATCCACAGGATTGAAAATCAGCAATTGTAAATGCAAGCTTAAAGACCAGTTTTTGTAGATGAATTATTGCTTTGAGGCTTCTTAAAATCATGCTTTTAATAGTGGAGATCAATTTTTATTTCATATTTTCTTTGGGTAATATTTGGAATTTTCTTCAATTTAATTAATTTCTTTGTGATCTTAAGAAGAATAATTAAGAACAAACAGAGGGTATATATATATTATTATATTTTTTTGAATATGTAAATAGATTATTCTACATATTTGATATGGGACATTGTCCCTCGTCATCACACAATTATTTGTAAGAGATTCCATTGCATACACGTTGGAACCGAAGCTAAGGTCCTATTGTGTGTTCTGAGTGTTGAATAATAAGTTTAGTCCAACCGAGTTGTCGTAACTGTTGAGACTCAAATTTAAACATTATGCGAGGAATTCGAGTTTTTATCCATTGAACCAACCACATTTATTTATTGAACCAACCACTCCGTGGGAGGTATGAATATTATTGAAATGCTACAAAGAGTATTTTCCATTCAATTTCAACACAGGGTAATATGCTGGCGCATTTGAAACCAGTTTGAGATACAAACTGCTGACTTGATTACAAAAAGTAAGTCAAGATCCTAGAAATCGGTTTTAAAAAATTTCAAGAGGAAAAAGTTTCCACTTTGTTTATTGTTCCTTTTACTAGTGAAAATATAAATTTTGTCATTTCTTATGAACATCAATTACATTTTTACTCATTTTTTGCAACCAATTTGCTACAAAATAATGGGAAAACTTTATCTACACCCCTTATATTTAGACCTATCTTCAATCACATATAGAATATTTTGAACAAAAAATTAACTAAAAATAGAACATTTGATCCTTGCTCATTTTTAGAACGTTTCGATCTATTTTCGAAATATAATGAAAAATATAAAATATTTAAAAATTATTTTTTTAAAAATATTGGTTGAAGTATATTAAAGTAACTTGAAATATTCTGAAATAATTGTGCAAATATATTGAAATATTATAAAATGCCTCAAAACATTTAAAACACTTCAAAATATTAGAAATTTTTTTCATAATTATTTTTTTTTGGTCTCCTTAAAAGTAAAAACATTTCAGACTTTTTGACCGAAATGAAATTTTGAGCAATGGAAATAAGACTATTGGAAAATTTTCCCCGAGAGAGAGAGAGAGAGAGGCGCGGGGGAGGAGGAGAATGTGGCTCCATGGCAGCTCAGGAATTGAGATTTGGAAGCCCAATCCAAGAGCTCCCAATTGCAGGCCCAACAATGAAGAGCGGGTAGGCCCAAGCGTTGCATCCATGGAATTATTCCATATCAGATGCCACAGAAAAACCAAACAAAAAAAAATATTAAAATTGGGAAAGATTAAAATTATAATAAAATATAAGGTACGTTCGTAAATCGCAGAGAGAGGAGAGAGGAAGTCCGGGACGACGTTCAAAGTAGTGTCTCTTCTCACTAGTCAGTGTCACTGTAAATGTGAGCTTCAATTTCAAATTCCCATGGAAATTGCTTCGCTTTCGATACCAAAATTGAGAATTATATAGCTCATAATCCTACTATTGCATCTACATACACGTATATATAACATTAGGGTTTGAGGAGGAGGAGGAGGAGATGGCGACAGTGGCATCCATCTCTTCTATGACTTCATGGACCCCTGAAGACGACCTTCTGTTGAAGAATGCTGTCGAGGTAAAATTTTCAATTCTCTCTCTCTCCCTCTCTATATGTACATGTAATTGTATATATATGTCTGTCTGTCTGTCTATCTATAAGAAATTCAACTCGTATTGTATAATTCCCTTATCATTCAACAGTAGCTTATGAATTGGGTGTTTAACTGATGAATTATGATGTCTGCATTCTTTGGTTTAGGGGGTTTATTCTATCTAACGATTAAATTTGTGCATAAGAGAGATTACATCCCCTTATCCTTGTGATTAGCTTTGTCCACGAGGGGTAGTATTCAACAACTTTTTAGGTTGTAAGCTTGTTACAGTCTCGCATGGTAATGTGATTGTGAGTTGTACACGTCTCAATACTAGACCATACATATTTGCGTCTGTATGGTGTTTTTTTTTGTTCAACTGTAATTCGGAAGCTGACATTTTCAACATACGCTGCACTTGGAATCAAAGCTTTAGAAGGTGAGTTCAGTGGAATTAGTTCAAAGTTTGAACTTATTTACTTATCCAGGGTCCCAATTCCATGATTCCATAGGCAGCAGACTGATATTTCGTATTCTAGAGCATCCAACTCTCCGAAGATAGTATGGATTGTGTTGAACACTCAATAATATATATATAAACTGCTACTCCTCTACACAAGAACCTTCTTCTCAAGCATGAGCAATCACTTAGATGTACATGTTATCTGTGACTGTTATGCAACATTACAATCATGGGCAGGTTACAAAGCTTAATGCATCAGTGAGAATGCAATGGTGAAAGTCTGTATGCTTTGCCATTAATGCAGTTTTTTTTGTGCACATTTTTCTTTACGATTTAAAGATCATAAAATTTCTATTTCTGCTTCCCTTGTAGGCTTCGTGCCACCTATTGTCTTACTTTCATTGAAGCTTTTGTTTGTTGTTCTTTTACAGGCCGGTGCTTCTCTTGAAGCACTTGCCAAAGGGGCTGTGCAATTTTCCCGCAGATTTAATTTTCAAGAACTGCAAGCCCGGTGGCATTCTCTGCTCTATGATCCTGATATCTCAGCTCAAGCTTCTGCTGGCATGGTTGAGCTTGAACTCTCTGGCTCCAATTTGTCATCAAAACTTAGTGGATCAGACTATTCCAAAGGATGTAAGGATGTCCCTGAGAAGAGGAAAATTGGAAGCATTCGCAGACAATATTTTTCCATGCGAAAGAGACTTCGAAATGAAATTTTAAATTCTAATGATATGGGTGTTCTGGCTGAACCCAATTTCCGTGACTGCAGTGGAAATGGATGTGATTTTCAAGACCACATAACACTTGATAATGAGCCTCGGAGTGGAGATTGTATGCTTGGTGATTGTATCCCAAATCATTTTGAACTGCAGGAGATGGACTTTGATATCCTGCATAATGCTTTTCCAGAAGCAATGAGGGATATTGTTGACACCGCTGCTGTCAGTCATAATGGTAATGCATTTCATACTAGATGCCTCAGGCCCACTGAAGACAATAGTCCAAATGGAGTTGGGGGAAAAGATTGTTTATATGGTTTCTCGGAGGATGTTTCCTCCTCAAAAAGAAAAGATGGCAGGGGTTCCTTCGAGCTGAAAATTGAACATGAAGATACTCATCCTCTGGATGATAATTCAATTACCTTTCTTAAATGTGAGGGTGTGGAGGAACTTGGCCCATCACAAGAGCTCCCCATAAGAAAGCATTTTGAAACCGATGATTCTGAGGTGAAGCTTTTTTCTCATTTTGATTCCGTGAATGATAATCCCCAAAATGTTTGTTCTGGACTTGGAGGAAGGCAGCAGGTCAACTCATCTGATTCGGAAGGCAGTGCTTCACTTAACAGAATGGGATTGTCATCTCCCCTGCCTAGTCTGCCCATTTGGAAAACAATGGATGACATTTCAGCACCTACTATGCCAGTCAGTGTGAGCCAGGGGGTCTCAATTCAGGGTGCTGAAGAGACGTCATCACTTCCCGATGATGGTGATGGAAAGAAGAAAACACCATTAGGATCTAATATTGTACAGCCTCTATTGAGAGATAGACACTATGGTGTTGACTTTGTTAATTCAACAGCTGTCTCAGAGGGTGATGAATTTCAAGATATCTCTGGTTCACTTTTGAACTTTTCAAAAGAGGATGAGCTTCTTTTAGTGCGTGTAGATGAGATAGACGCAATGGATAAGTCTTGCTATGATAATACCAATTCAGTGCTACTGAGTTCTCCTAATGAGGTTCAGGTGGCTGATGTATGCAATGTTGAGCCTAAGTCATCCTTAGGTTCAAAACCTTTCCTTGCGACTCCTAGTGGTGCATGTCCATCGGAGTCGGAAAATATTGCTCCCTCTGTTCATGTTAATCAGCAAAAATTTTATCATTCAGAGATCGGTGTGCCATCAACATCAGCGGTGAATCCTGATACTCGTGAAATTAGTGATGCAAATACTAACTGCACGTTGAACACCGAAGATCCAGATATCCCATGCAATGATGATATTTTCTTGCTTATCCACCCTTCAACATTGTTTGCTTCCTCTGAAACACAACCGTTCACCATAGATTCTTCTGACCCAGCTTCTTCCTCTGCTAATCAAAAGGATAGTGAGCAAAGGCAAAACTTGATGAAGAAAGGGAGAGATCCTGCTCACAGTTTTACATGGTCCCAGAGGATTGTGCCAAACATGTCAGAATTTGCTCCAGGCCACCGACTTGCTGGCTGTGCAGTCAAATCAGAGTTGCCCGATGCTAACCACCTCTCTCTGCTAGCCCCGAGAGACCCAAGTCAATGCAGATCAGTGTGTGCAATTCCAAACTCTACCACAGATGGAGTGCGAGAGGAAGTTGTTGCAAAAACTGAAATGAGGGTAATCTGATTTTGATGACATATATTATCTTTTTCTTATAACAGTCTGTTCGTGGATGCAATTGTGATCATAATAAAATTTGTATCTTGAACCGTTTGTTTGTTGGAAGCAGTTGGTAGACACCCTAACTACGTTTAGGGAAATGCCATTACAAGCAGAAGTATGTGCAGTCAAAACAGGGCTTCAAGAATCAGTGGTAAACCCTTCAACATCGAATCAAGAAGAATCTGAGAGTGACAATGAAGTACCTTCTTTTTCAGATATTGAAGCTATGGTAAATTTCTAAGGTTTTGTTTGTCAAGTCTGATACTCTTTTTCAATTCGTTTTTCGATATTTTTCCTCTTCTTATTTCTTGTTTCCTTTCAGATACTTGAAATGGACTTTGAGCCACATGATCAGGATTCATATATTAGTCGCATAGGTAATATTTAGGATTGGGTTCAGTTGGTAAATGGGGATATCATGTTTTCTTCTTCATTCTGCGGGTTGTTTGCATCGAGATTAGTCGGTTATGTGCATAGATCTGATGAACTTTATATGATTTCAAATGCCACTTGTCAGTCTTTATGAACACTAATTTTAAGTTGCACATACTACCCTACTCACTTGGTGAAATATATGAATGGTTGTATACTGTTAACAGAAAACCAATATTGTTATTGTTGATGAGTGAATATGTTAACCATGGGAAGTAAATATCTCATTTGCCACTCTGAAAAAACATGCAAAATTTTTGTACCATCTTGGTGGGTTCTACTAATTTTGAGTTGGTTTTGTTGCATGACACCTCCAGTCTCTAGGTATGAATATGAGGGAACTAAGAGGACAATCATTAGGTTGGAGCAATGTGCTCGTTCTTCTTTGCAAAGAGTCATGACATCTCAAGGTGCCCTTGCCATTTTGTATGGCCGCCATCTGAGGCATTACATCAGGAAGTCTGAGGTACATTTTCCTGGTTGTCTCCTTCTGGTTAGTTTGTTTGCTTCTAACTGCAAGTGACTAATATTTTTCCGTTTTCCTTCTCTCTTCTGTTTGGATGNATCCAGATATCCCATGCAATGATGATATTTTCTTGCTTATCCACCCTTCAACATTGTTTGCTTCCTCTGAAACACAACCGTTCACCATAGATTCTTCTGACCCAGCTTCTTCCTCTGCTAATCAAAAGGATAGTGAGCAAAGGCAAAACTTGATGAAGAAAGGGAGAGATCCTGCTCACAGTTTTACATGGTCCCAGAGGATTGTGCCAAACATGTCAGAATTTGCTCCAGGCCACCGACTTGCTGGCTGTGCAGTCAAATCAGAGTTGCCCGATGCTAACCACCTCTCTCTGCTAGCCCCGAGAGACCCAAGTCAATGCAGATCAGTGTGTGCAATTCCAAACTCTACCACAGATGGAGTGCGAGAGGAAGTTGTTGCAAAAACTGAAATGAGGGTAATCTGATTTTGATGACATATATTATCTTTTTCTTATAACAGTCTGTTCGTGGATGCAATTGTGATCATAATAAAATTTGTATCTTGAACCGTTTGTTTGTTGGAAGCAGTTGGTAGACACCCTAACTACGTTTAGGGAAATGCCATTACAAGCAGAAGTATGTGCAGTCAAAACAGGGCTTCAAGAATCAGTGGTAAACCCTTCAACATCGAATCAAGAAGAATCTGAGAGTGACAATGAAGTACCTTCTTTTTCAGATATTGAAGCTATGGTAAATTTCTAAGGTTTTGTTTGTCAAGTCTGATACTCTTTTTCAATTCGTTTTTCGATATTTTTCCTCTTCTTATTTCTTGTTTCCTTTCAGATACTTGAAATGGACTTTGAGCCACATGATCAGGATTCATATATTAGTCGCATAGGTAATATTTAGGATTGGGTTCAGTTGGTAAATGGGGATATCATGTTTTCTTCTTCATTCTGCGGGTTGTTTGCATCGAGATTAGTCGGTTATGTGCATAGATCTGATGAACTTTATATGATTTCAAATGCCACTTGTCAGTCTTTATGAACACTAATTTTAAGTTGCACATACTACCCTACTCACTTGGTGAAATATATGAATGGTTGTATACTGTTAACAGAAAACCAATATTGTTATTGTTGATGAGTGAATATGTTAACCATGGGAAGTAAATATCTCATTTGCCACTCTGAAAAAACATGCAAAATTTTTGTACCATCTTGGTGGGTTCTACTAATTTTGAGTTGGTTTTGTTGCATGACACCTCCAGTCTCTAGGTATGAATATGAGGGAACTAAGAGGACAATCATTAGGTTGGAGCAATGTGCTCGTTCTTCTTTGCAAAGAGTCATGACATCTCAAGGTGCCCTTGCCATTTTGTATGGCCGCCATCTGAGGCATTACATCAGGAAGTCTGAGGTACATTTTCCTGGTTGTCTCCTTCTGGTTAGTTTGTTTGCTTCTAACTGCAAGTGACTAATATTTTTCCGTTTTCCTTCTCTCTTCTGTTTGGATGCCCGGGGGTGTGGGTCAATGGGTCGGCTCTCTCCCCCAAGGGGGGGGGGGGGTCTACTGGTTAATGAAACTTTGTTTCTGTGAATGTGTCCCTTATTGCAGAACTTAACCTAATGTTGCTACCTGAGCAATAGTCTTTTTTAATTACCTTTTGCTCTCTGTACTCTTGTTTTCACTCTAGGCCAGCTTGAATGAAAATAATTGCTGAAACGTTGTCTATTGGTGTCAGCATGTGTCTTTTACTGCTTCTGTATGCGGGGTCTCACCTGCCACGGAATAAACAAATGAAAGTCATGAGGAAGTTTTCACTTTGGTGATGCCAGACAAAAGGAACTTGATTTTTTTTTGTTCAACAAACTTAATGCTGAGTATTTCCTAAAAAACAGATAAAATATCTGGTTTTAGTATTGGAAACAAGTTTAAAAACAGTGGTAAAATATTCTGCATTTCCTTTTCTAGTAGAAAAATGTATAAAAATTTCAAAAGATAGAACTTGTATTAGACTGAATTTGGCATTTCCCAATCTTGCAACTTTTTTTTTTTTCCTTCTTGTCTGTAGAAACGCCCCATGAATCAGGTTAACTACCTCCAAGTAGGTTTACTTGTTCCTTTTGCATTCAGTTCCAGCAACATTCATAGTGCGTGCTTGAAGAAGCAGATTTGCGACCTTGAATCCATACTATGGAAATGTGTGTGTTGGTTTGTCACAAGTCGCAATGTGAAAGAATACTAGGTGAAATGGGTTTCTGTAATATGCCAAGTTTGGCATGTAGGCAGCTGGAAGAAGTATTCCTTAATTATCATATATAACTTTTGATTAATGTGCTTATATATTACATTCCCATCATTGCAAAAAAACTGTCTTCGACATTTAATTCAATTTTTTCTCCATTTTTTTAATGTTTTTTTTATATGTTGAGCTATGGTAAGATTATGAACTGATGATCATATTTAGGACCTTGACCATGTTATAAGTCAGAGAGGTGGTGTGAGTTCAATTATCATATTGGCATAGTTTTGTTGTTCGAGTTGGTTACTGAATTTGGAATTATAATGAGCGTCCATCCCTTTACTTTCATTCCTAATGGAACGAACTCTTGTCTTTATAGGTCTTACTTGGAAGATCAACAGATGAAATCGATGTTGATATTGATTTAAGAAAAGAAGGTCGTGCTAACAAAATATCTAGACGACAGGTGAGAGAAAGGCCATTTTTTGGTCTTGTATTATTGTGGGTATTAGTAAACGCCGATGAAATACAGATCCAGGAGTCGTCATCGACTCAAAATTGGGTTCCCATTTATGGGTCTTTGAGATCCAGACATGGACATGTCTCCAGATCTGCATTCTTGGGCATCATCACATCTTTAAGATGTATGTTGATCAAGGAAAAATGTTATAATGTGTCTTATATTAAAGTATAGTACCCCTGTTCCTTGCCCCATTAAGGAAACAAAATAATTGGACTTGTTTTTCTGAATATATGACATGCCTCTCTTTTCTGCTTCATAAGGAAGCTTTTGTAGAGTGTAGACACTCTTTAACTTCTCGGGGATTGCTAACTGGTTTGAGTTATATGAATGCCTGACTATTGCTCTTTGTATCTGTTTAGGCAATTATCAAGATGGAAACTGATGGCTCTTTCTTTTTAAAAAATCTTGGGAAGAGTTTAATATCGGTGAATGGCAAATCAGTTGCTACTGGACAGTTGCTGAGTCTGGCTTCAAGTTGTTTGATCGAGGTACCTTACTTTCTGTCTTCAATTTTGAATGGACTGATATCCTTTAGACATGATTTGATACCATTTTAAATTCAAGATCTTGTATGCCGGTGAATTCTGCTCTGTAAATTCCCCCTGTTGATATTTTGCTCCTAGTTGATATTTGTTGTTTTTGTATTTCAGTGTACAGAACAGTCAAACTTACAATTCCCCAATTTCATCTGAAGTTCAAGTTTAGAATACAGCTAGACACTACCCAACCAATATTTGCAAGTGGGTGTTTTAAGGGGGGAAAAAGTCTCTAATGATACTTAATCTTTGACTTTTGTTTGTTTGCATTTATAGTTTTCACCACAATAAGGCCATTACAGCCAATCATGGGAAGAGAGAAAAGATAACTCCTCGATGTTGCACAGCTAATACTGCTGCTAGGGTCAACGTTGGCTACCAATTAAATTAACCTGGCTAAACTAAATGAGTTGTGACAGAGCATGCTAGTGCCGCCGAACCTGAACCACCGTCACCCTAAATGCAATAATGTTTCATGAAGTCTGTATTTAGCTCTTTGTTTCATGTCATTACCAACTTAATTTTTTGAAATTCTGTGATGGAATAATTGCACCATCGTGAGATTGTTATAATTGTTAGGTTTCATCTTCTTTGATTCTGAGCATTGGTCATTCTTATTCAACCGGGTGTATATGGTGCTGGTTTTGTTTATGGAAATAGGATTCTGTGGATCGAAATTATTAATTCAAAAACTTATTATGGCTGATTGTTTGTTCTGCTTATTTAATTACAGTGCAGCAATAATAAGACCTTAACTGCAATAAAACACAACATTTTGTTCTATATATATATAGGTTGAAAGTGCTATAAGACCGAGGATCTGGATAATTATTGGTCTTGCTTTAACAGATAATTACGACACATCTTCTTCCGTCATACCGTGGTTTGGTAAAATATTTAACCTTTAACCAGTTCACAACTACTGCCCTCATTTAGAGGTTCAACTTGTCTTGTGGTACATTATAATGCTTGCTTGCTAGCAGATTCATTCAACTATGACAATGTGGCTAATCTATGACTATCACAAATGTGAATTATTAGATAAAGGGAATGATAAGCTCCTAACTGCAATCAAACACCTCATTTTTTTAAAAATGAAAAAAAGAATAGAAAAAACATAACTATTGGTCCTTCAGTTCATATGTTAAAAATGTTAGTGTCAAATGTACAGTTGTTCAATTGATATATGTCAAAACAATTTTGTCCTACCAAGGATTTGGTTTATAAAGGTTCCTGCTTTAACAGATAATTAGGATAGCGTCGTTTTCCTTCATTGTTTGTTTTAGAAGAAAATGTAATGGTTAATTTGTTGACAACTGATGCCTTCATGTAGAGCATCAACTTGTTTTGTGTTACAATATGATTTGGACATGCTGTAACCTTCAACTATGGTGATGTGGCTAATCTGTGGTAACTGGTGCATTTGTAGATAAAGGGAATGAGTTTCGTGTTTGAAATCAACGAAAAATATGTGAGGGGATACTTGGATAACATTGCCAGAAAATGCAAAGTAAAGAACAGCAATTTTGAATGGTCACCTGAGGGTGAACCATGAGTGGAGGAGGAATACTACTGTCAAAAGGTGCTTTCTATTTTCAGTTTTTTTTTTTGGGGGTAAGTAATCAGTCTTTTATACAAGTTTATATTATCAAAGGAAGCATCCATATGCCGCCTACTAGTAGAATGTGTAGATAGAATATGTTTTATGTATATAAATTTTAATCATTCAGCTCTGGCCAGCGACATGTGATTATGTCCTTTGTTTTCCTTTTCTGTGCCGTTTTTTTCCTGTTGTTAGGACTCAACTGGCCTATTTTTCTTATTAGGCTGAGGTAAAAAGTCCTGCAACTAAGCACATTACCGCTTGCATTGCTGCACTTCTATCGCCTATAAAGCATAACATGCATAGTCGTTATCATAAGAGCTTGTAGAACTTGTGTGTGTGTGTGTGTGTATAGCTGCCCAAAACTACATCCTAATGTTCCCATGAGGAGACATGGTTAACCAGGTCTATGCTTTGGACAAAACAGGGTAGTCTCTTTTTAAATTTGATAGTTTTCTGTTGAACTTAGATTGTAGAACTTGGATATAGTATTGTTCTTTCTTTTATTTTTCCTTCTAGTAATAGGAAATCTTTTCTTTTTGCTCTAGTAATCAGAAATCTTATTTAGTACTGATGATGCAAACTTTTCGGAAAATATATTAGGAGGATCCCAACCAAAAGTGTTGGGGCTGATAACCATGTTATTCTTGGTTTGGATCTAAAAGCACCCATTATGTGCTAGCATGCTGAAATTTAAGTTTGCACACAGTTGATTACAAGAATATCAATATATTAGGTCAGGGAGGGGAGACAGCCTGTGGTTGATACCAATTTTATTTGGATTGTTGGTCGTTTTTGTACATGATACAGGTATAGGTATGCGTATGACACTTTTTTAGGTGTATGGTACGATAAGGGTAGAAATAGTTGGTACAGTATTTTAGGTTGCAATTCGTTTTTGAACTCTTATCTAAATCATTTTCACCACTAAACAATATTATATATCATAGAACACTCATAAACACTAAGTTAGTTATAATTTATTTTACATTTGTGTTTGATTTTCTATTATCTAAAACAAAATATAATTATAAAGTTTTATACACGTAGTTAAGTAATATGTATTTTATATCTGTGTTATGTGTACAATTTAAAATTGCACATTTTGGTGATTTAAATTGCGAATCCACTCTATTCGGGATCGATGTACTTAGATTGTGAGTCATCAGCACTTTGTAAATTCTGGTAACTATGGTTGATAGAGAATCTTGGTGCCCCAGATTGATAGTTTGAATTATCTATTTTTTTAGGCAATTAATACAAGATTTGTAAAGAAAATAATCAAATATGATGGATTTTACCTTTTTTTTTTTGCAATTAATACAAATTGTATACTAAAAAAATTGAATATGATTATTAGAATCCTATGATAATTTGAGATCACAAGACTAAACTTGAATCCCAAATCGTTTAACTTTTGAAATGGTAAATCTTATAATTAGTTATTAAACTTTTTCTATTGTTTTATAACAGTTTTTGAATTTTGAATTATCTCAATTTAGTTTCTTAATTATCAATTTTGTGTCAATTAATTTTTTTTCCCAATGTCAACCATTAGAAGAAAGACATCATATGTCGTGGACGACCACATGACAAACACGTGGTTTGTCTTCGTTTGTTTTATCGGCATGATTTAGTTGATACGTAATTGATGCTTTAAGGGATTAAATTGAGATAATTAATAATTTAGAGACTATTTAAAAAAAAAAAAAAAGCACCAGTATTAATCGTAATATCTACCCTAGGTATAATATTCATCTAGTAAGGGAAAGGATGTCAACCGGTTGGGTGGCATGATAGCGTGGCATCATGGGCTACCTACCATTGCTTCCTATAATTCCATAGTTGTTGTTACCACTCCATACTATGCGATCAATCTCTGGGCCCTCCACCAATAACTGAGGTCCTTTTTAGGTTATAGTGCAAAGCACTCCAACCTTATCAAAGTAGGTTCACTGGTTGCTGGACTCCACTCATTATCTTCGTTTCTACTTCTAGGACCCACTGTACCAACTTATTCATGGCAGATTAGTGGTTATGCTGCTCATGCATGGCTTTTCTGTTTTTTCCTATCGTTTTCCCCTTACAAATAAATTTTTTATAACTCTTTACGGGACCATTCGTAAACCACACACATCGATGGTTACGATGTGTACCATTGTACCAACTTATTCATGGCTGATTAGTGGTTATGCATGGCTTTTCTGTTTTCCTATTTTTTCTCCCCTATCCATAACTATAAATTTTTCATAACTCTTTAAGGGACCATTCGTAAACCACACACATCGTTGGCTAACTATGTTGGGTTAAACGATTACAAAGCGCGTTTAATTGAATTCGTGTGAAAAACTAATAAATCCGTACATGACTCGTTTAAGTAAACGGGTGAAAACATTTATATTGAACATGATTCGTTTATTAAGCAAGTTATACGACACGATTCGTTCAACTCATTTAATAAATGAATCGAATTGGATATGGTTGAATTATCTTTTTGTCGATTTGTGTTGATTAATCGTATTACGTCAAATTTTGACAGGCTTAGTTACGAGTACCATAAGTGTTATTTTTTTTTTTTTGTCATTCTGAAATTGAAATTTTTACCACCGTTCACCTAATCATCCGTCAACAACACACATCCACTTTAACGTATTGTGATTTTGAAATTCTCTCATTTGAATTAACTACATATTTATAAGCATGGCTACTCAATTGTTATGACTTCAGAATGCAAAAACAAAACATTATGAGACTTTGGACCTACACAATTGAGTGATAACTCACTATATATAATGCATTCTGAGGGGCCCTTTCTTAGTTTGTGGGTGAATCATTGTTAGTTAGGTTGATTTCCATATGGACTACTTTTTAACACTTTTTTCAACCCGAATCCATTTTTGGCAGTTGAATGAATGATTAAGCATCAATAATATCTCTCACTAAATACTTCTAAGCACCATCATCTCTCTTACATTATATCGGAGATTTCTTGAGTTCGAATCTTGACAACCTCTTAGTGTTAGGTCATGAGTTATTTATCTAATTTCAGCGTGGATGATCTGTCTTTGATTGGACCGAAGAGGGAATTAGTCAAAACGTGCGTAAACTAATCCAAACATCTTTGACCGTTAAAAACAAAAAAAAATTATATGAGAGGAGTGGGTGACCAAACCACCCACCAGCTTGGGAGGTCTTGCAACAACTAACATGGAACCGGTAACCATATGCAGGGGCATGAGACATTTGAGCTTTGGATTCCAAAAACCAACAACTAGGGGGAGTTTTAATATGGGTTCATGTCAGGCTCAACATACTGATTTGGTAGAGAAATCTTTTAATGTGTGTCTCTTTGCGTGTATTACCTGTTTTGTTTGTATGCATTATCAATTGGACACCCTTCTCTCCTGTTTTTTGGGACCCCTATCTTTAGTATGAAGATGCCATGGAGGGACCAATGGATTCTCATCTAATTGCTGCGACACTTTGTGAACACTCACATGCATATTCTTCTTGGGAAAATGCTATTAGGTCCCAATAGCATTCTTCTTCTTCTTCAATAGGAACCACAATAAAATGGAGTGTAACTTTTTGGATTTTTTTTTGTTTGTTTAATTTCCACGCCACCTGCATACCCTTTAGGACTATTCTAAGGAATTTATTTTGATAATTTGATGATGTATTTAATATGAAAAATTGCATATTCTTTGGTCGAAGAGTTCAAGATTACTCTAGTCAAGAAAGAAACTTGTATTAGTTGTAATTACATTTCAATTACACTTCTGAGTTGTTATGATAAAACAAATAATGCATGAAATGAGATTGGCTAAGAATGATTAAGAATTATTTTTTTTTCTTTTTTTTTTTTGGGGGGGAGTATGAATGGTTTTGGTATTATGTGAACCACTCGATAATTATATTAATTATGTGGGTTTACAAATTAAATCAAGTTTGTGAGTTTCTCTTTTATTTTTCCTCATTCGAAGAGGGTCAATTATAAATTGGGCCTGCTATTGATGGTAGATAGAGACAACTCTGACAGTCCAACGAAAGCAAGACACACACTCTCTCTCTCTCTCTCTCTCTAAACTAGATACGAAAAACATAAGCCATTAAGCACATTTAAATGCTACAGTAGAGTCTGACAGACCCGTGAAAGCACTCGCCAAAAGATCTCTGAACCGAAACAGCAAAAAGAAACACCATCTCTATGTCTTCCTTATTTGGAATATATTTAAAGCAATTTGCTTCAAACCCCAACGGTATGATTGCCCCTCTTATCTCTGCAACTTCTTTCTTATCTTGAGTCACAAACACATGCTAAAACGAGAGTGAGGTAATCAAACCAATGGGTGATCTCTTCTTCTCTCTATCTTCTACACTCATACTGCTACTTACAGCTACTGAGCTGTTCTTGCATGCGCGTTCAACGACACATTGGGAAGACATTCAAGTCCTGAAACAGCTCAAGAATGGAATCGACACCAACTCAGTGAGTCCAGGCTCGTGCTTGAGTTCATGGGACTTCACGGTCGACCCATGCGATAACCTCTTCAGCGAAAAATTCACTTGCGGATTTCGATGCGACGTCGTAACATCCAATTTTAATCGAGTCACGGAACTCACTCTTGACCAGGCGGGTTACTCCGGCTCACTCGCTTCCGTTTCCTGGGACCTCCCTTACCTCCAAATACTAGACATCTCCGACAACCTATTTACTGGGTCAATCCCAGACTCGTTTTCCAACTTGACTCGGCTTCAAAGACTAGGTCTATCGCGTAACTCGCTCTCTGGCTCATTACCCACTTCACTAGGCTCTCTCTCCAGCCTCGAAGAGCTTAACCTCGACAATAACAACCTCCAAGGCACAATCCCGTTAAGTCTCAACGGTCTGCAGAATTTAAAAAGGCTCGAATTTCAAAGTAACAAGCTCACAGGTGTGTTTCCTGAACTGAGTCAGCTTAGTAACCTATATTTAATTGATGCCAGCGACAACGCAATCTCCGGCGAGCTTCCGGCTACTTTCCCGGCCTCCATTTTCGAAATCTCCATGCGGAACAACCAATTAGAAGGGAATATTCCGGCGAGTGTGACGAACTTGATGTATTTACAAGTGATGGACCTGAGTTACAACAGACTCAGTGGGTCAGTCCCATCGGGTCTCTTCACTCATCCGTCTCTAGAACAATTAACACTATCCAACAACCAATTCGGGTCGATTGAAGCTCCAGCAAACTCGGTTCTACAAAGTCCACTCATATCTGTCGACTTGAGCAACAACCAGATTCGTGGGAATTTACCCTGGTTCATGGGTTTCATGCCCAAATTGTCAGCTTTGTCCTTGGAAAACAACACGTTCTCGGGCATGATACCGATGCAATACGCATTCAAGACGTTGGTTCCAGGTCAAGGGCTGTCACAGTTTGAGAGGCTCTTCCTTGGAGGGAACTATTTATTTGGACCTATTCCGGGTCCTTTGATGGAGCTGAAACCGGGTACGGTTACAGTTAGACTGGGGGATAACTGCCTCTATAGGTGTCCTTTAAGGTTTTTTTTCTGTGAGGGTGGGGTACAGAAATCTTCAATGGAGTGTAGGAGCTTTGATCCCACCATTCCTTGAACAGTGTGATATTGTTCTCTATCCTTTCTATCTCTATATAGAGGTAGATTTTTATTTGTTGTTTGTGGAATATTTATTTATTTACTCTTTAACATGTAATTGTCCAAAGCTCAAACTATATAGTTTTAGACTTACAGCTACTGCTTAAACCTGCTTAACTAATTTCAAGGCCTGAACATACATCTAATGCTTACTTTTAGGCATAGCATTAGCTTATTTTCCCGAGTCAAAAACCCAGTACATAATTAATCACAAATAGCACGAATGGGTTATTTGCATCCCCACTTATTAGAATTGAATTTGGGAATTTGAAGAAATAATCAATTTAAGTCCTTAAGTTAGATTATAAACTGGCTTCGTTTATACATCGAGTACTTGGATTACATGTTTGAGTGATAGTGAAGTTACATTTTTTAATTGCTGGTAGCGTCCCGTAAGTATTCGTTACAACAATAATAATGTCAAATCAGTATTATCTTCCAATAATAAACTACAAAATAGATAATCGGAGCTAAATTTATGTCAAATTTTTATTGGGTTCCAACATTTTAAAACCAACTTTGTTTTGAGGCTAACAACAAGTGTTTTAATTATTTTGAACATTGTTTTTTTCATCTTTATTTTTTTAGGAAGATTCAAAAGCCATTTTAGGGTACATAACTTGTGAAGTGCTTTTCCCTACAAGGCCCAGCCAGGCTGTGGGATAGGTTAAGTTTGAGCCTGCACATTGCCATCACGCTCATTTGATCTGTCCCAATGCTACCAGACCATCCCCACCAATGACCACTGCACTTTTCCAATCTTGGCTTATTTTGAATTTATGCATTTGAATTTTTTTTTTTTTGCTAGTTATCTTTATCTAATTTGCTTTAATTTTTTGATCATAAATAGTTGAGACATGATTTTATCAAGTGCGGCGAGTCTATACTACAAAATATGTGGTGTGAAAATTCTAGACATTACTATAGGCCGTCACCTCATTTTTCTAATAGTTTAATTTGGGCCCTTTTTTTTTTTTTTTGGCAGTGCCACTTCTTATTTCTAGAGTTTTCTTGGACATTAATACGACATGTCCTATAATTTTCCATAGAAATGCATTGGATATTTTTTTATTTGTTTGGGGTAGAGGACATGCCCCTTCGGTCTAATTTTCCTTTATTAATTGTTTGGATTAGGACTATAAGCCATCATTGCTTCGATCTAAAGACCGGTATTAGGGTGAATTTGTTAGCCCAATCCAGTAATTAACGGTACATGCTCTCTTTTTCAAGAGTTTTGAGTAGAGGCGACCAGAATTTGTGTACCAAAGTTAACATCGAGACAAAAGTTGTTTTTATTGATTAAAATAAATGTTTCAAGAGTTTTGAGCGTAGATATCAGAATCAGACCGTACATTGAATCGATAGAGGGACTGAATTAATGATTCAATCATTGAGCATCATAATTTAGCTAAAAAAAAATATTAAAATGTCTCCAATGTATACAATTTCTCATAAAATTAATGAAATTAAATAGAGAAAATAAATACATGTGTTAAAAATGGTAGACACTATAAAAAATTAATAAAATTAACTAAAAAAAAGGAGAACAATACACAAATCAAAAAAGTGAACAGGAAGTTGAAGTGCTGAGAAAATAGGAATTTTTGTTTTTAAATTTTTAAATTTCATTTTTCATTCAAACCATTCGGTTTGGCGAAACCGTCCAGTTCACTTGTATTGTTAAAAATCGGTTAGTTTTGCTAGTTTTAGCGCACAAGCAGTCTAATTCATAATTCGAACCTGTCTAGGCCCGGTTCACTAGCCAATCCTAGTTTTTGAGAGTTTGTTTGTGAAAAGAAGGGGCAGATTAAGGACCCCGTAGGCCCATTGGGCCAAATACCTTAGCCTTGCTTGGATTAGGTCATCCACCTAGCCTCACTTACCCAACGTTTTGTTGGTCTTCCGCTGAACATGTGTGCAGTAGACATGGGCTTGCTACTGGGTTTATTTTTTGGGTAAGTTGGGCTTGTTACTTTGCTACTAGCTGGGCTTTGCTTGTTTTCTGAGCTACCTACGGATGAGTTTTGCCATACGGCTTTTCTTTTCCACCAACAAGTGTGATATCCATTTTTAAATTGAACCGAGTTTTATGATTTTGAGTTTGAGTCTATCGAGTTCGTTTTTTCAAATGAGTTAAAAAATTTGTTTAAATCGAGTCAAGTTTTATCCGAGTCCAAGCTCAGGTTGAATCTGAGTAACTCGATTTAATTAACCGTCCTAAATATAACAAATTTAGGTCCATTTTTTTTAATTTTTCTAAATATTAAATTATCCATTCTTTATTGATGGTAGACTTACTTGAATACAATATATTCTATTTCAATCAACGAATAGTCGTCCAAACCATTTCACGTGACGGGACGGAGGAGTATTCCTCAAGTTGAGGGTGGAAGTGGGACCAACTGATTTTTTTTTTTTTTTTTAAATTCCACGCTCCATTTTTCTATGCTCCTGATTTCACGGGCATATCATCACTACATTCATTGCAAAGCACTGAATTTCTTGTAACGTTATCTAGATTGAGTCTCTATCTGCATTATTTATTAACTCGCCAACAAATACAACTCTTTTAAAAAAAAATTTATTAAATGATATGCGACACTCATTTGTTACAGGGTATTCAAATTTGAGTGAACTACTCATTGGAACTCTAAATCAGTTACCATAATTTAAACTAATTTAAAAATATATTTCATGAGAAACAACGTTGTTGAAGGATTCTTAAGGAATACGAAAAGTCGGATAAACACTCCCTTTTGAACTTAGAAACACAAAGTATGCACATGCTCATCATTTGTATTTTGTAGCATGCTCTTACTTAAACACACATCACCAACTCCATTCAATGGTGCTTAACCCCACCCCACAAATGACCTATATTTGCACCTTGGTTTATCGGTAATCCTAGTCATTTTCTACTTGCTGCTAATGAGAGATAGTGTTTCTCACTGCTTGCATTGTCACATGCACAGCCATGTGAAGCTAGAGTGAGAATAGGTTAAATTTAGGCATACCTATATTTTTAGTTTGTTGAATTGATTTGAAATTCAAATATAGTTTACTAAAATTTAACACAAATGAGTTGGTTATTTGAATTATATCTAATTTTTGGATGGGAATATTATGTTAACGAACTCGGATATGAATTCTAAAAATATAATAATTCATTGGAATTTAAATTGAATTTAAATGAGACTTTTTAAATCAGATTCGGATTTGAATAAAACAAAATCAATCCAAATCTATTACCAAGTCTAGTCAAATTAGTGGAAAGTCAAGTCAAAGTATTGGTTTGTGAAGTCAGAAAATGTTTATTATTATGTATGGATAACTTCTTCATATTGATAACCCAACCCCGAATTACTAATTGCCTCAAAACACATGACCCAACTGTTCTGTTTCACCAACTTCTAGTCACTCCGCAGCTCAATGCTTAAGCACTTGCTGTTCTAAATCTCAAACCCAAACTCCAAACTTCAATGGAGAATTATAGTCACAGAGACATCTTCTTCCTCATCTTCCTCTTCTTCTTCTCACCCTCTTCTCCATTGGCATCATCACAACCTTGCCATGTTGTGGACAAAGAAGCATTACTCCAATTCAAAAAAGCCATCACCTCTGACCCTTCAAAATTGTTGCAGACATGGACACCTACCGCTGATTGTTGCACTGCCTGGGAAGGCATTGGTTGTGATGCCTCCGGCAGAGTCGTTAACGTCTCGCGTCCCGGCCTTGCCTCTGGGGACGACTTCATCATCGACACCTATATGACTGGGACTCTATCACCTTTCCTTGGCAACCTCTCTTTCCTTCAATTGCTTGATCTCAGTAACCTCAAGGACATGAGGGGTCACATTCCACCTGAATTGGGCCGGTTGTCGCGCCTAATCTATCTGTTTCTTGATTCAAACAAGCTCACTGGTTCGATACCAGTTACTTTTCGGTTCCTTAATCAGCTGGAGAAGCTGTATCTCAGTGACAATTTTCTGTCTGGTTCTGTCCCTTCACCTGTTTTGGAATCTTTCATTTCACTGTCCGAACTTGGCCTTTCGGGGAATCAATTGTCCGGTCTCATCCCATCATCAATAGGCAAATTGGTTTCACTAACCAAGCTTGATCTCCATGAAAACAACTTTTCTGGTCATATTCCAAATACCATTGGCAACCTCAAGAGCCTCAATTTTATTGATTTGTCTGATAATCAGATCAATGGAAGCATACCAATATCTATTGGTGGACTTCATGAATTAGTACTATTGTACCTCAACAGTAACCAACTTGGTGGAAGCATTCCCTATACTATATCTGGTCTCAGTTCTCTCCAATTCTGCCGCTTATCTGAAAATAAGCTCACTGGCAGCATTCCAGCATCCATTGGCATGTTACCGAAGATCCAACGATTAATTTTCGAGAACAACAAGCTCAGTGGGAAACTGCCTGCAACCATTGGAAATCTCACAACACTTACTGATATATTCTTCTCGAACAACCACTTTATTGGAAAAGTACCTTCAAGTTTTGGCAATCTACAGAACCTTCAGACCCTGGATTTGTCAAGAAACAAACTCTCTGGTCCAATCCCTCCACAACTTTCTAAATTACAGAATTTACAAACTCTAGATCTTTCCTTTAATCCTCTGGGGCTTATGGGCATTCCAAACTGGTTGGAAAAATTGAAACTGCTTCAGCTAATGTTGGCGAGAACCGGAATTAAAGGGCAGTTGCCAAATTGGTTATCTTCATCTTCCATATCTGAACTTGATTTATCAAGCAATGCGTTGACAGGGAAATTACCCCCTTGGATAGGAAACATGACCAACCTTTCCTTCCTCAATTTATCAAACAATGGTTTCTATTCCTCAATTCCTTCACAATTCAAGAACCTTTCACTTCTAATGGACCTTGATCTTCACTCAAACAAGTTTTCGGGTAACCCAAATATCGTATTCTCAAAAAATGTTCAAAACCCACTTGGCCATTTCAACTCCATTGATCTTTCTTACAATATGTTCACTGGACCAATTGATGAAAACGTTGGAGGCCAACCTGCCATGGACTCTATTGTGTCCTTCGTTCTGTCAGAGAATCCACTGGGAGGATCTATACCGAAAACTCTGGGGAAATTGAGTGGACTACAGGTACTTGAACTTGTTGGTAATGAGCTTTCAGGGAAGATTCCAATTGAGCTTGGCAATGCCACGGAATTGACAACAATTTTGGTTTCTAGGAACAAGTTGATTGGCTCAATTCCAGAAGAGGTACTGAATCTGAAGAATCTTCAAGTGTTTGATGTGTCTTTTAATCAGTTAAGTGGGAAAATCCCTCCCCACAAGGCTGTTATCCCTGTGTCTGCATTTATGAATAATCCTGGCTTGTGCGGAGCTCCACTTCCTCCTTGTAAGCACTTTATCTGAAAAAGACATCACCTTTGATCACACTTTTGGGAAAATGTCCTTTTATTTAACTGTTCACCGATGATTCATATCCAATGTAATTCTCGTGCTTGGTAGGTGATTCATATTTATATCGAAATAAAAAAGGGTATTCGTGAATGATTTGTGTGAATTGAAGTTGTTCATAAGGGATGATTCAACGTGACACTTCAGTGAATTTTCGTTAAAATTTACATCCAAAATAGCACACATATTCATGCCATCGTGAGCTTTTAAAGGAGTATTAATGAAATTCTAGGTAAAGTTGTCTTATGTTGTTTATTTTGTCTGAGCCGGTCCAAATGCAATCGCTTACCTAATCTCACTCAGACATTAGGGTCATGTTTGTTTCGAGTATAAAATTTAGGTTGTATAAGGTTTTATATTCATTCAACTTCAATCCAATAGTATATTATACCCGGTGTTATACTATAATCTCATCATTTTCTTTGTTTATTTATCACAAATATTATTTGTGTAATACCTATTTAAAAAAGTCAACAATTGCGGCTAACCAATATAAAAGACAATTTTAACCTTTAAAAAGTCAAAAATTGCGACTAGACTTTTATATGGGAATTGTACTGAATGACATTTCGGTCTTTTTAGTTTATAATCCCTATACCAAGAATATGATACCACCCCTAGGTGGTATTTATTAAGATCTTCTACAAAGCATTATTGCTATTGTTCATAGCGGANCCTGCCATGGACTCTATTGTGTCCTTCGTTCTGTCAGAGAATCCACTGGGAGGATCTATACCGAAAACTCTGGGGAAATTGAGTGGACTACAGGTACTTGAACTTGTTGGTAATGAGCTTTCAGGGAAGATTCCAATTGAGCTTGGCAATGCCACGGAATTGACAACAATTTTGGTTTCTAGGAACAAGTTGATTGGCTCAATTCCAGAAGAGGTACTGAATCTGAAGAATCTTCAAGTGTTTGATGTGTCTTTTAATCAGTTAAGTGGGAAAATCCCTCCCCACAAGGCTGTTATCCCTGTGTCTGCATTTATGAATAATCCTGGCTTGTGCGGAGCTCCACTTCCTCCTTGTAAGCACTTTATCTGAAAAAGACATCACCTTTGATCACACTTTTGGGAAAATGTCCTTTTATTTAACTGTTCACCGATGATTCATATCCAATGTAATTCTCGTGCTTGGTAGGTGATTCATATTTATATCGAAATAAAAAAGGGTATTCGTGAATGATTTGTGTGAATTGAAGTTGTTCATAAGGGATGATTCAACGTGACACTTCAGTGAATTTTCGTTAAAATTTACATCCAAAATAGCACACATATTCATGCCATCGTGAGCTTTTAAAGGAGTATTAATGAAATTCTAGGTAAAGTTGTCTTATGTTGTTTATTTTGTCTGAGCCGGTCCAAATGCAATCGCTTACCTAATCTCACTCAGACATTAGGGTCATGTTTGTTTCGAGTATAAAATTTAGGTTGTATAAGGTTTTATATTCATTCAACTTCAATCCAATAGTATATTATACCCGGTGTTATACTATAATCTCATCATTTTCTTTGTTTATTTATCACAAATATTATTTGTGTAATACCTATTTAAAAAAGTCAACAATTGCGGCTAACCAATATAAAAGACAATTTTAACCTTTAAAAAGTCAAAAATTGCGACTAGACTTTTATATGGGAATTGTACTGAATGACATTTCGGTCTTTTTAGTTTATAATCCCTATACCAAGAATATGATACCACCCCTAGGTGGTATTTATTAAGATCTTCTACAAAGCATTATTGCTATTGTTCATAGCGGATCGGTATTACGACCCGAAAAATAGTACTGACTATAAAATGCCAAACAAACAACGTATAAGATGGGTCTCATGTATTATTTTCCTAGTACCACCTCTTTATACCACTCTAATACTCAAAACAAACGGCCCCTAGGGCATGTGTTGCTTTAGGTATTAAAACATTGGATTGAATTAGTTTAATTTGACGATGATGTAACATCAAGTTTGAATTGAGTTATAGTGACTCAGTATTAATTTCTTATTAATCCGGACCTAGTTCACTAATGTCATTTAATGTCTAATATTAGTTATTAATGAATACCATGTGATAGGTGATATTATTTTAAATAAGTTTAGTATTAAAAATAAAATAATTTTACTACTCTTGCAAACTTAAATTCACACATTCGTATAAAAGTTATACATTATATAAATTATTATCCTTGATATTTGTTTTGCCATTTTCAATTTAATATCATCTACTATTACCTAATCCAAACATAAATTTAGTATTATAATTATAAATTTGTATCTTATTCTAAAATTGATCCAAACTTGTTACATAAAAGATATAATCAAATAATACTCTTAATAATACCATTTGTATAAATTAAGTGAGAACCAATTATCGAAGAAGAAAAAAAAAGTGAGAATCAATTACCGAATCTCATCTTGATTAATATTATTTAGACCTAAAAATTTGACATAATTTATTGACATAATGATTTGACTTAATAGGAATCATTGGATCAATACTAAATTTTAATGTTTGATAGGACTTACAGTCAATCCAAAGGTCATAGTGAATTAGATCAACAAATTATATCAAATTTTTAGGTCAAATTTTAGGTCAATAGCATTACTCTCTCATCTTTTATTTGTATCCAAACCAAACATGCCCTCATTGCTTTATTTTATCCCCTCTTACACTGGGATATTGGTATGCTTAAATGTGCCAAGTGGAAGGAACCTCCGGTTCCTGCAATGAAACATATTTGAGACATTCCTTGGACATTGGAAACTTGCATAGTACAAGCAATAACAATTTCCTATTTACTTTTCTTCTCTTATAAAATTATATTTTCAACCCCCCTTAACTATCAATTATCTCACATTGCCCTCTGAATTGTCATATTTCTGTCATTGCCCTTCAACTACCTCAATTGTTGATTTCGTCTGTACTTCTTGGATTAAAATTTGTGCACTTATCTCCTGAACTGTGAATCTATTTCATTTTGTCTCAAAATCTAATGGCGTGGGAATTTTTTTTGCTGACAACTCAACCTAGGTTTGATTTCATAAGATGTAAAACTAATTCAAGAAGTTGAAGGAAAAATACGTGAAACTTTTACCCAATTGTACCGATAGTAAAGCGAGTCGGGATAGAGAACATAATTTAAGGATTAAAATTGGAAATTGCCCTGATTTCCTTGTACCCCTTTTTGCTTGGAAAAATTTGTTACACTCCTCCTAGTTTACTATATTTTCAAGGATTCACCCTCTATTATCAAAAACATCACTGACACCCTTTTTAATTTGTACTTAAACATCACTAACACTCTCCACCATTAAACTATCATTTTAACAAAAAATATTTATCTAAAATATCAAAAATGTCCCTATATAAACCTCAAGTAATTTTTTTTACATAAAATTTTATTAAAATTTGAGTAGATTAAAATTTATTTTTTCTACATATTAAAATTCGAATGAAGATGATTAAATTTTATTTTTTTAACGTATTAAAATTCAAGTTTATTAAAATTTATTTTTTATGTGTTAAAATTTGAACCGATTTGAACTCTACCTGAATTATTAGCGCCGATTAAAATTTATTTTCCAGTAGATTAAAATTTATATTTTTTTACTTATTAAAATTTGAGTCAATTAAAATTTATATTTTTTATATATTAAAATTTGGGCCGATTAAAATTCAATGCGATTTGATTAAAATTTGATTTGAGTCGATTAAAAATAATTTTTAATTGGATCAAATAGAAATTTTAATTAGTCTAAATTTTAATACGTAAAAAATATAATTTTTAATCAGCTCAAATTTTAATATATAAAAAAATAAATTTTAATTTGTTTGAATCGAATTTTAATCGTCCCGAATTTTAATATGTAAAAAAATTAGAAAACATAAGGGGTCTCATTAATGATATGCTTATCTAGAGGGGGTGTGAATGAAGTTTGTCCTCAAATATATCATGAAAAATTTAGTAAAATTATATTTTAGTTGATATTTTTAATCTGATAGAGGTGTCAGTGAAGATTTAAAAAATAGAGGGGATGTTTTTAAAGATATGATAAACTAGAGAGGATGTAGTTAAAATTTTCCCTTCTTGCTTCAATTTGGAAACACCGCAGGGAGCCTCGTAGATTGCCACAGTCAGATATGTGTGTCTGATAGGTGTGTTTTCTTTCTTTTACCTCTGAGTTTTTGTCAGCTAACTTTGCATGTTCTAGTGCTTGTCTGCAGCGCAAAGGCCAACGGCTTTCTCTTCCCAACTCACAAACTCAGTCTGACTCTGTAGATTTTAAAGCACAAAGAATTCATTGGGATGCTTCACCGATGCACACAGTAACTACAAAACATCTTCTACCGCAAGGACGGACGGCCGGCCGGTCGAATCATGCAGTTAAAAAAATCTAATCAGTGTAGACGAGGAGTTTTAGGTACGGAAATATACTTTTCGGTATTGTATTTTTATTTTTTAACCCCTAAATGACGAAACTAAGTATATTGGATGAGCGGCCACTACAAAGAAAAAGAGCTACATGATTTTGGATTATTCAAATTTTATATTAGGATAAAAAAGGTGGTTTTCAAGATCTTAGGTGAGTGGATCCGCACCCCTGCCTCCTCCTAGATCCATTCCTATTCCAAAATGCGTATATCAACCACTAAAAGTGTGCAATTATTCAAAAATGTGGTTCTACCTCTTACTTCAAACCGACTCTATCTCTATCAAAATTAGAGTTTATTAGAGTCAAAATTGGAGTTGGAGAAAATTTGCGGACTCTGATTGGAGTCAGAGTCGAAATCTGAATGCCTATCTGAAAAAATTTCGACTCTACCTTTTATTAATTAATGATTTTTTATAAATTATATATATTATTATAAATCCCTAATTATATAACATAAATTACATAACATAATATTATAATATATCTAAAAATCTACCTTGTCTATCTACATTTAACCCAAACGTCAGTCACACCCACCCATTTACTCTCTTTATATCTCTCCCTCACTTAGTCGACGATGATGCTCTTTCTTTCTCACACGCACACGCACACCCCCACACCCATACCAAACATCGACGAACAGACATGCAGTCGTACCCAAATATCTCTATCTCTATCTCTTAGTCTCAGTCGATGATCATAGATCTAAGATCTCAGTGAACCAGCGTATAGCAATGGCCTCATTAGTGGCGGGGCAACGATGGTCTCATCTCTGATTGTCGATTGAATCTCTCATTGTCTACAATGGTCTCAACAACAATTCTTTCTGTATGTATGTATGTTAGGTCTGTCAAAATTCGACACGACATGATTAATTGGTAAGAATTAAACGGGTTGAATAGAATTTTAATGGGTTCGGGTGATAAACGGGTTAACCCGTTTATTCACCTATTTACTCATTTAAAAAAATTAATATAATAATTATTTTTAAAAAATTATTTAAAATTAAAATATTATATAAAATTATATAATAAATGAATAAAGAAAAATTTTACATCAAAAAATTTAAGTACAGATTACTCACTTATTCCTTTGCAGTGCTCGATATGGGAATAAATTTTTTATCATTATAAAGACTCTTTCTTGCCCCAGAATGCAGAGCTTACCACCACCATCAACAACACTGGTTTAGGCTCAAATTCGTCCTGTAACACAGTTTCATATGGGTATTTCACTAGAGATATGTAGTGAAATCAGATCCAACAAGGTGGAATTCGACGGCGCAATCTGCAGTCATGGTTTGCAACTCATGGCCGCCGACGAGCTCGCAGGCGGTGATGCAAAGCATTGGTCAAACTTTCTTGTCTCCAACGAGAATGGAATACTGCATTGCTTCTTGGATCATTGGAGGGTCTTTGATTGAGACGGCAGTGTCCAAGGCTCTGTTTACGGAATTGGCCTTTTCAACCATATAGGCTTTGAAATTAAAGGTTGGTTGGTTTTGGGTTTGGTTTTTTGGAGCTTCTCCTTTTGTTAAGATCTCCTCTTTGGTGATTATAGCTGAGATGGTGAAGGTGGCTCGAGTTGATTTGCTAGTATTTGGATAATTTCAACAACCATGTTTGATTTTCAGAGGATTGTAAGTCAAGCCAAGGAAAGATCTGTACTAGGTTAGCTGATTGAACATTGAACTAAATTGTACCCATGAATCCACCAGACTCAAAAATCTCATCTTCTTCGGTTGGTTCGAGACTTCAGAGTGATATGATGCAGAGGCAATACGTGAAATCTAAATCTATGTTTATGTAGACCTTGAAGACAGCTGTAATGGAGGAGTCTATGAGTCCAATTCTAGGAAATTTTGGTAAGAGAGATACCAAAGATTGTATCAATGGTTAGAAATTGAAACCTATCAGTAATGGGGATTGGGAAGCCATGACAAAGAGATAGGGTAATGAATCAGGAGCGAGAAGAGAAGGGTCTGTGTTGACATGTGACCAATCACCATGGTGGAGGAGAACACATGGTGAAAGCTGCGCAATGAAAACTTTTGGCTTGAATTTCATATCGACAAATTCAAATGAAGGAGGCCTCCCATACCTATAAAAAGATGCAGCCCCCCATTCGTTTAGTCATTAAACCTTCTTATTTACCTTTGCACGTAGCAGCCAGCTGAAAATTTTTTATTAAGAGAGTATAGTTGGTGTGAGTAATTAATAGAATTTAAAATTTTAAGAGAATAATTTTTTGCTGTGGATTAAAATTTTAATAGAATAATTTTAATAAAATTACATAAGTTAAACGAGTCGTATTGTGTTACCTGTTTATTAAATGGTTCGTGTTCGTGTTTAAATTTTTTATCCGTTTATTAAACGTGTCGTGTACGAATTTATATATTTTTCACATGTCACCTATTTAACCTAACATGTAACCGTTTAACCCGACACGCTTGACACACCCTAATTTATGTGTGTGTGTGTATATCTCGGATTTTATTTCAACTTTGACCTCCGCCTCCGCCTCTAACAAGTGGAGTAGGAATCGGAGTTGTAGTAGTTTAAAGTTGGAGTCGGAGGAAAAAATGCACTCTAACCAAAGTCCGAGTCAGAGGTCAATTCAGTCGGAGTCGGTGCCCAGTCCTAATCACCATCAAATCTTATGTTTGACTCACGTGGACTCCATTAGTCTGTTTTTACTCATAAGACAAACAAAAATATTCAAATAAAAGGAGTTACATAATTTGAATACTGAATTTAAGGAAACAGAAATTGATGGGGCATTTTGAAATAGAGCATACAATTTAGAGATTTGAATTACTTCTATTATATATAGTTTTTTATATTTTCTACAGATTTATCATCTAACTGTGAATTGAAATTCATTGTATATAAGTGAATCTATTAATATTATATAGAGTGTGCTTTATCAAAAAAATAAAAAAAATGGAAGAAATATATATTAGAAAAATCTAATTTCTATATGGGGGAAGAGTTGGATTGGATGTTTACAATATTCGCCTATCTTTTGATCTTATTTAATTAACAACAGATATCACGTTTAATTAATTGTAAATTTTCAATTGTGAAAGTAAAACGTTAGTCCAATTGGTACGAATACTTTTTTATGGGATTTTATTTAATCTTCAGTCCTAATGCAACAATCTTCTTCATCATCACTAAAAGCAAATACCAAAAAGAAAAGAGACGAAAAAAAAATCATATGAATATGAAAATTCTAGCGAATGAGACAATATATGGAAAGTTATAATTTTTTTAGGGTTTAAGTTATAACTCATATGAATATGATTATAGGTGTCAAAATATAACACGATAAAAAATTAGAGGATTTGAACTTTCATTAAATCATTTGTTTTATAAATAAATTGATAAATGAATCAGGTATAAGTGAAGTCAATCAAAAGCACGACTCGACTCATTTATATGTTACTTATATACGTGGACAGAACTAGGAATTTTGTTCAGAGTGGACACTTTAACTATGTACTTTAATTTTTTTCCTTCTAACCAATCACACTATGTAACATATTTATATTTATTATATTATATTTGATATATGAAGTCCATTTAACATAAAAAATTCTAAAAATATATATATATATATTGTCAGGGGCGGAGTCATGAATATCTATGATAAAAGCAAAATATAACTGATATATAAAATATATTAAGCCAAAATTAATACAAAAAAATTCAGTTCAAGAATAAAAAAAAAAAAAGAATCAACACTAAATTATTGTAAAATAGTAAATTTAATTTTTATTTAGCTGAAACAAAATCTTAACAAAAAGACACAAAATAATTTTTTTTAGTACATTTTAACTTAATTATATATTTCAATAAAATATAAAAATTTTTAAAATCTCTAAAATTTTGTATATGAATTAAATATAAATTAATTTTCGTATTTTATTAGGATATAGACTACTATTACTAAAAAAATGATAAATAAAAATTAAAAATTATTCTTAAAAAATAACGAACATTGAGTTAGATAAAAAAAAAATATTGTATTTTTATCAATATACAAATAAAATATATATTTTTTTAAATATTTTGTTTTTTTGGGGGGGAGGGGAAGGAGGACTTGAACTCTTGACCTCAACAAGACAAAGTCTTTACAAGACAAGGAGTATCATTGGACCAAATGCCTACTGGTTACAAATTTAACATTGACTCAATCCAAAACTAACATATTTATTTTAGAGAGTTAGTGGTCCACTAATTTATTAAAAAAGAAAAAAAGACTAGAACTCTTATTAAAATTTCCAAAAATTTAGGGGATAAATATAATGTATAAAATAATTTTATAGGTTGGTGCAATGAAGGACAAAAAAACTCAAAGAACTGAACTTATCTTGTGTTAAGCCTTTCTTTGTTTCTTCTCTTTTTCTTGTGGTTGGGCAGTTAAAAGTGAGTGATACATATAGAGAGGGAAAAAAAAAGAAAATATAAAATAAGTTTTAGTCAAGTGGACTAAAAGTTTTGTTTTTTAATGATGGTGGACCAAAAGTTTTGTTTTTAATGTTAGGTCAAAAAATTTGTTTTTAATATTGGGCTAAAAGTTTTATTTTTTTAATAGGTTTAAATGAATTGTGATAAGTCAAATATTTGATTTTTTAATAAGTTTGAATAGATAATAGTGAGTTCAATTTTTTTTGTTTTAAATGGACTTAATTGTTTAATTATTTTAGATAAATAATGTGGACCTAATATAAATGAGGGACACACATAATATATATGTATAAATATATAATAAATATATTTAACTAATAAAAAAAAAAAATTAAGGGGGGCACATGCCCACCCTGGCCCTACCTCCCTTCGCCTATGGTTATTGATGGGACTCTTCTGAAAAGCCCTGAGATGAAGACACGTGTCCTCGGGGTTTTTTGAACAGTGGTGCCCGGATGTAAGCACCATCGGCGAAGAACGTCCTCTACCCCCGAGGTGCCCTCTCATATAGGATCACACATTCGGTGTATTATACAACAAACACGTGTCCTCGGTCACGTGTACCTCGGAAACATACCACCCTCGGTCCCCGCGGTAAGCCTTTTCTCGGTGCCGAGGGTCACTCCATCCTAGACGCTTCCTCTACTCCCGGATAAAGCTACTGACAAACTGGACATCAGCCTATGCCAGTATGGACTATTCATCATGACCTCTTCTTACACAAGTAATGTCAGAACGTGCTGGAATACCGACGTAACAGCCAATAAGGGATGGACAATGGCAAATAATGTCACATCCGAAGCAGACAAACCGCATGCCGCTGCTGGCACGCGACTTGGGAAAGCAAACAATTAATTGCACCCTTCTGTTGACGAGACCGCATTTAATGCGGTAAGGTTCGGATATGAAAGGCAATAAATGCTCCTATTACAGAGCATTTATTGCATCCTTCCCGAAAGGAGCATATTGTACCGTCGGCGTCCCGACAACTCACCATTGATTGCTCGGGACCCCGAGCAGTCAATTAGAGAAGACATTCCTCATCAAATGATTACACACGCTACCTGTGCCTGATGATCACCTACTGACCACACTGACAGCAATCATGATCTTCTAAGGTATAAATACCCCTCCCAAAAGACAAAGCGGGTATGCAATCTCAAACTCTCAACTACGAAATATCCTTCTCAGTGTTTTCTCCTTCCTCTCTCTCATTCAAAGACTGACTAGACCGTCGGAGGGGATACGCCGGAAAACACTCCGGCGCCCTTCTAACTTGTTCTCCTTTGTTCCAGGAAATACCTTTCACACGTACAGGATCGTTCCTCCTTTCCCAGGATCTCCCTTTGCCGTTTCCGGTTGCCACCGTACCTTGTAGGCTGTTTCAAGCAGCGTGTTTGGCTACTCAACCGGCTCACCCAAAGTTCACCAGGGGAGAGATCTGTTCCCAATATTTTATATATCGTGCAGGATCGAGCCCGCACAATCTGGCGCCGTCTGTGGGAAACGAGTAGTTTTCCTAATCTTTTCTCTATAAAGAACAGTGACCATGGTGAACACCAGACAGAAAGGGAAAGGACCCCACCAACGGAGTCATGAGTTGCAAGCTCCCTGCCATCACGGAGGGAGGGATCGCACCAGTACGATTAAAAGTGCCTCTACTCGGTCAAGGGGGGTAACCCCTCAAACCAGTATGGGGATCAGGTCAGGAGGATCAGCCCCCTTGGCCCGTCAGCTGGCAGAGGTGATTGAAGAGAAATTTGGCGATAGATTACGTCAGCTGGAGAAGGACAATGTAAACGTCCTTAGCCGGCTCGACGAGTTTGCTGCCTCAGGCGGAGGGTCGAGGGATTCATTCCTCTCCCGAGGACTCCCCGTCCATGAGGCGGAGACAAAGGATCTAAGGAACCACCTGGATCACAAAGCAGAAAGCTCCAGGGCCCCGAAGCGACCCAAAGCCGGCGAATGCCATCTTGACAACCATTCCAGGAAAGCAAGGCCAT